TGGACTATACACCTGTATCTGGTTTACGTGACATTCTTTCTGCTGCAAAGGTAAGAAGCTTATCTGTTTTCTGGAAACCAATCGAGTTCCTGTCCTCGTATACGCTGTAGCACTCATCAACCCCGCATATCATCATCATGACAAGCCCAACTAATTATACAAAACACGTAATTAATTCATCTCCAGCCGAGAAACCAAATCATAAACGGTTCTCGGCGGTTCTCGGTCATTGCACAATACATACATTTGCAGCTGTCAAACGACGATCAAGCCATTCGCTTTCTCAAACAGTAAAGACAGCTCAAGCAAAAGCGTGGGGAGCTCGATGGCGTGCTACGCGGGGTCCTAGTGAGCCATGCCCAAAGAGGCTTGGATGCACAAGAATAAGAGCACCTGAAAGTGCATGTTGGATGAGTTGCGAGCGAGTATAAAGGGGAATGGGTTGATCTGTGAATTGTTGTTTTGTTTACTCTTTATTCTCCTGTTGTTCACATAGATTAGATCTTTTGACACCGGAAACGGGATTCATCATGGCTGAGGAACTTAGCAAGAACTTTGAGACACTGCAGCTTCACGCGGGGTATGTTTTATTCCTTATTCGCCTCGGCTCTGATGGTGGACTTTTCAACTGCTATACAGCTGCAGTTGATGGAATAAAATTGTTTGGAAGAACTAAACTAACTCGTTTCCTTCAGAGCTCAGGTCGATCCTACCACCAAATCACGAGCTGTCCCTATCTACGCTACAACCGTATGTTCTCACAAGCTACTTGGAGCTCTCATAGCCTCGCATCATGAATTAATCACTAACACTGTATTCAGAGCTATGTCTTCGATGACTCTGCTCACGGAGCTCGGCTCTTTGGTCTCAAGGAATTCGGCAACATCTACAGCCGTATCATGAACGTGAGTTCTCAACTCCCAGCCCGGCTTAACCCACCACTTACACAGCCAGCCAACTGTCGATGTTTTCGAGAAGAGAATCGCAGCTCTCGAAGGCGGTGTCGCAGCCCTTGCTGCCTCATCAGGCCAGGCTGCTCAGTTCCTCGCCATCAGCACCCTCGCTCAAGCCGGCGACAACATCGTCTCTACTTCTAACCTCTACGGCGGCACTTACAACCAATTCAAGGTCTTCTTCCCTCGTCTGGGCATCAAGACCAAGTTTGTCGATGGTGACAAGCCTGAGGACATTGCGGCTGCTATTGATGATAAGACAAAGGCTGTCTATGTTGAGAGTATTGGAAACCCCAGGTATAACATTCCTGATCTGGAGGCTATTTCCAAGGCTGCTCATGAGAAGGGTGTTCCTGTTATTGTAAGTCAACAATTCTGTACTAGGCTGTCCGCTGGGTTGATGGTTATTTTAGGTCGACAACACCTTCGGTGCTGGTGGCTACTTCATCCGCCCTATCGATCACGGTGCTGATATTGTCGTTCATTCTGCCACAAAGTGGATTGGAGGCCATGGAACCACAATCGGCGGTGTCGTCGTTGACTCCGGAAAGTTCGACTGGGGCAAGAACGCTGCTCGATTCCCTCAATTCCACGAGCCTTCTGAGGGATACCACGGTCTCAAGTTCTACGAGACCTTCGGCAACATCACCTTCATCATTCGCGCCCGAGTCGAAATCCTCCGTGATCTCGGTTCAACTCTCAACCCCTTCGCCGCTCAACAGCTCCTCCTCGGTCTCGAGACTCTCAGTCTCCGCGCTGAGCGTCACGCCCAGAACGCTCTCGCCCTTGCTCAATATCTTGAGAAGAGCCCCTATGTCAGCTGGGTTTCGTACCCTGGTCTCGAGAGCCACCCCTACCATGAGACGGCTAAGAAGTACCTCAAGAGAGGCTTCGGTGGTGTTCTGAGCTTTGGCGTTAAGGGTGGTGGTGCTGGAAGTGAGGTTGTTGATGGCTTCAAGCTTATTTCTAACTTGGCCAATGTCGGTGACGCCAAGACACTTGCTATTCACCCCTGGAGCACCACTCATGAGCAGCTCTCTGATGAGGAGAAACGCAGCTCCGGTGTCACTGAGGTACGTCATCCTTAACACTTGATTTGAGTTCATCTTGCTAACGAAAACAGGACTTGATCCGAATTTCGGTCGGTATCGAGCACATTGACGACATCATCGCCGACTTTGAGCAGTCTTTCAAGGCTGCTGCTGATGCTACCACCAAGGGCGAGAAGAAGGATATCCCTGTAGGTGACAAGGAGGCCGAGGCCCCTCTTGCCCCTTAGAGAGACGCAAGACTGAGTGTTTGAAAGGGGACTATGATTTGGAATGGCTTTATTAAATACCCACTAGGAGCTTGGAGAGAAGAGAAAGCGATATTGTTCATCATGAAATTGTGCAATACCATTGGCTTGTGGGCTTGCTTAAGAATGACAAAAGAATATCCATATTGCTAGAAATGCCTCCTTGCTTGTGTGTAACAGATGATGGTACTATGTCCCTTCTCGTAACTTATCCTCAGCGTTTCATTCTTCGAGGTTGTAACCGGGCCGCTTCAGTCCAACCTTGCACCCCGACTTCACCAGCCATAGCACGCGCCTGGTCGAGGGTAATGTTATCATAAACAGAACTCTCCTCTGCATCATGCTTCTCATCGTCTATCCCTTCGACCGCTGTGCCATGCTGACCAGCTCCCTCACCCTTGGATTCATCGTCAGGATAGGTACCCTGGCCACCGATGCAAGTAGGCTCATCCCACAATCTCAAAGCAAGAACCATGTGAATACCAAGAACATCCTTCGCCTTTCCATTCATCTCAAACACTTTTTCAGGCCGAATAGAAAACCCATCCTTTTCGTTGCCGATGATTCCAACCTGCGCACACAAGATAGCATTATCAAGGTTATCCTTGGTCCTGATAACCCATTTGGGCATGGGTCTGAATGAATGAATATATCTCTTTGGGATCATAGCGTCCGGCCCATTCTTCTCTACAGCCTTCTTCTTCTTCCCGACTACTCGAACGGCTTCCCAGCTTTGGTAGTGGACACTCCTGATAGTGCCCTTTACCTCTCTGATCACTGCTGCGGTGCGAAGCGACTCCTCTTGTTGGACGAGAGCGACCGACTTGTCGAGTTCTTCCAGTTCAATGGCAGTTTCGACGAGAGATGGAAAGTCATCGCCGATTTCTGAACGGGCATTCTGAAAGTCTTGAATGAGTTTGCGAGCGTTTTCGATGAGCTCATCGTGGCTCTTTACTCTCCCGATGAAATGGCCACTCTGCCATGACTGATGAATGAGTTAGTTTAACTCCGCAATGGACTGTAGAACGGTTTCGTTTACCTTTTTGCAGTAATAATCCATTTTTTTCCTGGATACTAAATGAAGAATGCAAGCATCAAGATGAGACTTGCCACAGTCTGGTATGTTGGATGCTGATGTTGTGACTCACGTTCACAACGATGAGATCTACAGTCCCGTGACCACTCCTTCAAGATCATATCATTTTAGTCGTCATCCTGAGGCACTGAAACGTATTGAGCTGCCTGCAGCTACTGTTAATAAGTGAGAGTCATTCCTTCGAACAGGGACATGGTAACCAAGCTACCCTGTATGTGCCAAGATGCAGGAGCTTGGTGGTGCAGCAAACTAGGACTATCAACCACATGATGTCTTTCCTAGGGGCTACCAAACCCTTGAAAGAAACAGTAATGTATTGTTTCTGTCAACTCGTTTATAAGCAACGTAAGTAAGGCGTGTCTGAGAATGAAGAATGACAGCTTTCCAGTAACCAGCCACAAGATCAAGAGAGATTGACAAACTGACGAGACTAAAAGACATGATAAATAGTAATAGGCACGGGCGTCTCAGGGCTTCGGTCGCCAACAGTAAAACCATCATATCTGATATGTGAGTGTGAGGATAGTTGATTCATGCCAATATGATAACAAGGGTATAAATGTCCCTTTAACAATTAGCGCGTGACATCAGGTAGTCGGAATAACGCAGAATTACGAAGACATGAAATCGAGAGCTATGCATAAGGGTGAACATAATTATCTGCATGATGAGCATGGCAAGGCGAGTGTGGAATATAAGTGAAATGCTTTTCGAAGAGGGATCAAGATGAAAAGAAAAATGAGGCCAGCATTTTGTACTCTAGTGAAACTATAAAAAAGAATGTAAATTAGCCACTGGGATATGTCCAAAGATCTCAGTAGCTTCATCGAGCATCCATCATTCTAAGATACCCAGCTACACTAGGAGGACGAATAAGATACTTCGAGCTAAGAGTGAACGAATTGAATGGAGCAAGGAGCAAGACTTTAGTCTCGTAACTTGTATAAAAAAGGCACTTTAGTGATCTGGCCAGCTCTAAAACTTGACGAAGTCGCTTGGGGGCTGCTGAGCCGTGATAGGCGCAACCATATCAACGTCAGCATACTATTTTGACAAGTGTTAGTATAGACATACCACTTACGTACTATTAGATCTCCCTTGACACTGTGACAAGTCAGAGGATTATAAGAAAGTTCGAATTCATCATGAGTTTGTCGATCTTATAAACGCGTACTTTTGGCCCCATGAGTCTGGTATCGAGGGACCAGGATACAGGAATTCCAAGCAGCCTGCAGCTGGCTAGCCCTTGCGTCCTTCGCTAAGCTATTGCAATTACTTGCCAAACTACTTCACTTTAGCTAGAGTACTCGCAGTGGTTAATATTGAAGTTGATCACATATGCGGAATTCTGACGCCACAAAATATCCATATATGTTTTCCTCTCGAGATAATGATATCTCCTGTACAAAAGCCGCCCTGTGATATCGCTTCCAGATCTGAGAGAATTCGACATCATGGTAGAATGAACCATTACACAAGCTGTTAATGATCACCAAGCCCCCACACGCGGGAGGGAGCTACCCCTTAGATCTATCGTAAGACTGATAATAGATCAACGTTGGACGTAAGACTCCATAGAGTACATATAGAGGCGTCTATCGGCTGTGGAACAACAGTAAAAAATAGCCAGACCCCATGATTAACCACTTTCAAGATGAAAGTCACACATAAGACGACAGATATACAGCTACCTAAAGCGGTACTGGACACGACTCTTAATGACCATTACCGCCAAGCTGGATCTGAATACCGCAACAAACGAATTGGCCAAGTACTCAGTAGTTTCAGCGCTCTGGTACCACCGAGTTCCAAGATTACCCCTAACCACAAATACATCTACCAGGGTGGCCCCTTTACAAGCAGTAAGGGGTCACGTACAGAGAAGGAGGATTCAGCAACGGCCATCAAGCATCTGTCACTCGTAAATCAACGGGGCGCTTTCGTATGTGGCACAGCGCCAGTCATCTTCTTCTATATGGACGGAGACTCAAAGAAGAGAGACCATGATCGGAAACAGGTCGCCAAGACGTCGGCGACACTTCCCGATTGTCAACGGTTACAACCTGTCTTTTGTGAGGGACCTGATTCGATCCCTATCAACGAGACTGAAATTGACTTACTCGCCTGTGAAGTCGTTCATGATAGTTTAGAGAGACACAGCAACGTCGTTCCACTCGAGACACATTGGTTCCTTAACTCGAAGCGTGCCTTGGCAGACTCTGGTCTTCCTACACCGAAGTGTGTCATCATAACAGTCAAAGGTATCCCTACAGATGCGCAATCATGTTGCGCTCCTTGCACAGGCAGTGGTCTTGACAGCTTCGTTATTCCAGGAGACTGTACTGGTAACAGGGGAACATGGCTCAAAGAGCAGTCAGCGAATATACGACGCACTCAAGTCTCACCCCCTTCCATTCGTGCTCAAGAACCAAGCAACATTTGGTGGTGCAGGGACGTTCATTGCCAAGACTGAGGAGGAACGGCAAAAGATTATTGATAACCTGGGAAAGGGGTTTCTCGGCCGGTTACTCTCCTCTGTCAACGCGGATAACTCGCATCTCGAGCCCGCAACAATGCTTCTTTCAGACATGATACAAAATCCAATTGGTGACTATGGAATGACGGTTTTTAACAACAAGAAGGGGCAAGAACCAGTATTTCTAGGAGTGTCCAAACAGATGATTCAAGATGGTACAGCTTGGGTTGGAAGTACAATCGACTACCGCCAACAGAGCGAGTTGCGACTCAAATTTGAAACGCTCACGAACCAGATATCGGAATGGCTTCGATCGTACGAGTACATTGGTCCTGCAGGAGCAGATGCCCTTGAGGACGCAGATGGCTTTCACGTGGTTGATCTCAATGTTCGCACAACAGGCTCTTGCTGTCTGCGATTACTACGAAAACATTTTACAAACCGAGAACTTTACATTGCATCATCCTTCTCTACTGATGTGCAACAGCGTCGCGACGAGTTTCTGGATATGTTCAAGGCTGAGTTTCAAGACGGTCGTATGTGTGTGATAAGCTGGTATGAAGACCAAGAAAAGGGGAGCAGTTTAGCAGAGCTTGTTATTGGAGGAGAAGATGACGATAGATTGAAGGAACTCATGGATCGTGTCAATGAGATGTCGAAGAGTGTTACCTTTTAGCTTCAACCAATATGCTTGGATAATGCCGATGGAGGATATGCGAATGTACTATCGCAATTTGGGATTACCGTATTTTACCAGATGCAGATTCAGTTCGTATAGCAAATGTAGGGTCTCGACGGAGAATATGATCCGAATGTCATCGCAGGATAGGTCAAGACTCAGTGGTTGGTGGAACGTGAGAGGGCGGGGGATCAACACCAGGCGGCCGACCCTTGGGTGTTAGTGGCATAAGACAGTCTAGAATAGCTTCAGCCACTTGAGCTCAGGAACAAATTGGAAGAATAAACAATGATTACAAAGCCTCAAAATACGAGGAAATCAAGCATATTTCTAAGTCTATTTCCTAGTCTGAATACCACTCTTTTCAGTGTAAAGAATGATGTCGTTGGGAGGTGTAGCACTCAAGCTTTCAGCTTCAACCAACCACCATAAAATAGCTGCATGCGCATGGCTTGGTAATAGTCCAGTCAGCTCTCCCTCATCAACTAGACGCGGCTGAAACAAAGGTCAAAATCTCTATCCATCTTAGCAATCATACAAATAGAGCCTCCTCCTCATTCTTGTCTCCCACCCATCTTTCAATTTCCGTTGAAGCAAGATGAACTGTAACGAGCTCCAAGAACACTCCAAAGCAGATTGCTTCCTGGTCAAGAAGCCGAGGGCGTTGCAATGGTTCTACAAGGGGCAACTTATCAAGGAGAAAGAGGAGGAGCGCCAGGCTGGTCGCTTCGAGCTGTTCCTGGATCTCTTATGTAGGTATCTCCATGCTATCGTTCAGGCCTTGACTTACACTCTGTAGATGTGGCGATTGTCGCCAACTTCAGCGATGAGCTTGCTGAGCATCCTGATGGCGCTCATCTGGCAAAGTACATACTCATCTTTGCGCCGGCATGGCATATCTGGGCTGATCTCCGCGAGATCATGAACTCATATTATACCGATGATTTACTGCAGCGACTTGTTATTCTTTGGGTCATGGCGCTTCTGGTGCTGTATGCGAACAATGCCAACGATGCAGATGAGGATATTACAGCGATGCGGACTACTGCTGGAGCATACCTCGTAGCCCGCTTCACTACCCTCAATGTTTTCCTCGTCACCTCTTTCGCAGCGTATCAGCACCGCACACAGGCTCGGATCATGGCTGGTTTCATGTTTGTCGGTCTTCTAATCACCATCCCGCTCTTCCTTGAGGACATAAGCATTCGCGCAAAAGCCGCCATCGTCGCCGTGGGCATCTTCTATCAAGAGGCGACATGGGCGCTTACTCTGAGTCCCTGGATCAAGGCCAAGCTACATCTGACTTACAGTACTGCTGTTGACATTGCGCACGAGATTGACCGAATGGGCGCTTTCTTCATCATCATTCTCGGCGAGTTTGTGTACAGCATCATTGTTGGCAATAAGACAGGCATTGGCTTGACTTCAGGGTACGCAAAGGCTGTCTGCACGCTGATTATTGCGTTCGTGCTGAACTGGGTCTATTCCAGTGGCGATGGCAGTATTCAAGCAACACATCCGATTCGACGATCTGCCTGGACAGCCTTTGGCTTCTTTCTCTTGCATCTACCTCTATCAGCATCGTTTCTCATCGGAGGCCACATCGCAGCTGCGAGCACAGCGATTGAAGAGTTTGAAGACGGGCAGCGTTGGCTTCTCGGTGGAGGGCTTGGAGTTGGCATGTTTTGCCTCTGGGTTTACGGGATGTTATACCGGGTCGAAGGTGAGTGCACTCTATTCATGGGACAGACGACACGAATCAGTATGAGGTTGATAATTGCGATCATTCTCGTCGTCATCCCTGAGTCACATAACCATCTCAATGCAGAGAGCTTCATGTTCGTTATCATGGCTCTGTTTGCTTTCCTATTGATATGGGAGACCATTGGAGGCTTATCCAGGACTTCCAAGTTTTTTGAGCCTTGGACGAATAGAAATCCACCGCCGGAGGAGGATGACAGAGAAGGCTTGGCGGGCGAGTAATGGAATTATCAGGCACTTTTCGGAAAAGGGATTGATGTGTTGGATCGTGTTCGGATCATGGAGAATGATAGTGGAACCCTTCTCAGGCAGGACATCGATTGACTTGAAGCTATGGTGCACCGCCACAGCAAGCGATCGCCACTGTCTGCGTCATTCGTGGCGTATGCTATAATGAAGCTTTCTGGAAGCCGCGGGCTAAATACGATTAAGATTTTGGAATCTGGAGGAAAATGCCGTGAGGCAGCCTATGCATAGGTTGTCGTCTTTGCGCAGCACTTGAGTGGCATAACACTGAATAACCGTTTAAAATCCGAGAGAGAGCTAAGCTGTTCCAGGATCATCAATGCATGCATGCGCAAGCAACTCCAAGACGTGACCTGCAGAACGCACTGTAATTGTAACTGCAGCTGTAATTTTAGGCCACCTTGGCGCATGTCACTCATCTACCCATATCGTTCACTGCTATTTGGGTGCTTCTAGAGTCAGTCGCTAATGAATGGAAGGCTTGGTCGGAGACCGGACGAGGAAGCCGCGGACAAGGTGGCTGTGCTTTCTACATGACAGCTCTTGCACCAATGGCGTCACCTGTGCTTCGCATGTTGGGGGAGGGGCAACCGGGGTTTCGGTGATTGCCCCTCCAGCTCCAGATCCAAACTCATGTTGCTTCTCCAAGTGGCGTTGACGCGAAACATTCAAGGTCACAAGTGGCAGGTGCCAGATTGCCAAGGGAGATAGGTAATGTGCTTAAATAGTCCCTCGTAGTCTTAGCTTTAGCCTTAACTTACCTTATCCTTGGCTCTCACGTCTTGATCTCGATATTAAACTTCCCCTCTTTACCTTGACCTTACTTGTTCCTTGTACTACACGACCTACTTATACCCACCCGCTACATCATCGACTCTTGTTAATTCCTCAGACGTCGACCTACCACAAATTTCTCGCACAACATCGTTGTTGCACTCTATAACAACATCTTCATCGATCGTGTACTTTTCAAATCCTACTTCGATGGCCGACTTTGCTCCCCCGTCTGGTCCGCCTCCTCCTAAGGCCCCCGAGGTTCCTGCCGGATGGGCCGTGCGATGGAACGAACAATACAAGGAATGGTAAGAACTTGACTTTGTCCACGCGCGCGCAGCGTCGCTAACATGCGAATTACAGGTTCTACGTCAACATTTACACAAAACAATCGCAATGGGAAAAGCCCACTGCTCCCGTCTTTCCAGCTGATGATGCCGCGCCCGCCGGCCCTCCTCCCGGATACGACCAAGGCAATGCGCCCATCCCTACAGACACCAAGAAGAACCCCTACGAGGGCCATCGCGATCAGTCGGCTGGTGGTCCTTCCGAAGATGAAGACGCTAAGCTAGCTGCGAAGCTACAGGCCGAGGAAGACGCCCGCGCTCGTAGTGGTCCTGGTGGTCCAGATGTTCCTGCGGGATACGGAGCATCAAATAGTCCATACCCTCAGAGCAACAGTCCCTACCCCCAGAACAACAGCCCGTACCCTCAACAACAAGGGGGCAGTTCTTATCCCACGGAACTTCCCCCTAGAGAACGTGGTGCTAAGAGCGGTGGTGGATTCTTAGGCAAGTTGCTCGGCAAGGGCAAGCAGATGGCTGGAGGCCACCAACAAGGCGGTGCCGGTGGTTACGGCGGCTCGCAGGGTGGCTACGGAGGTGGTTATCCCCAACAACAGTACTACGGCCAACAGCCCCAAGGCTATCCTGGACAAGGTCCTCCAATGGGCTACGGCGCCCAACCTCACTACGGCGGCGGTTATGGCGCGCCGGGAGGTTACGGTGGCTATGGTGGCGCTCCTGGTTACGGAGCTCCTCATGGCGGCGGCTTTGGTGGTGGTGGCCGTAAACCTGGTGGTGGTGGTATGGGCATGATGGGAGGTGCTGCTCTCGGTGCTGGTGCTGGTTTGCTTGGTGGTGCCATGATCGCAAACTCTTTTGATAACGATGAACAAGACGCCTACCAGGATGGTTTCGGTAAGTTTCCATTTCAACTCTCCTTGAATCTAACAGCTCGCTAACTATCGTTACAGAGGATGGTGCTGATTTCGGCGATGATGGCGGTGACTAAGGAGCGTCATACGTTCTGCATGGATTTGCTGAAGAGGAGTTTCAGTGTGATATTTCCGACTTGCGCTCGAAATTGGTTTTGCTTTGAGATTTTTTGGGCAGGGCAGGAATTGGGTATGGAACGAGGATATGATGACAATAGGCTGTGCGTAACTACGCCGTGACTAGTAGCTAACTAAGTTTTATACCTCTACAACGAACTGATGAGGGGAGGTTCAACGGAATAATGATCATTGCTAAATGCATACAATGCCATATCTCATAATCTACTTCTCTATCGTCCGCCTATGCCCACAGGGCTGTGTATCCATCCAACTTTTGTAGTCATTATATACCCAATAACTGTGCGAGATTTACCGTCTCACGCCCTGGTTCTTAGTGTTGCCGTTACCACCATTGTTGGCTGGGGTGCTCTCCTTGGGCTTGGAACCGGCGAGATACGCAGCCATGTCGAAGTTGGTAAGAGGGTTGTCACCAGATGACTGACCGGTCATGGCAGCGCTCAGGGGGCTGTTCTTTCGCTGGGCCTCGAACTCGGCGCGCATCTCAGGGTCCACTGGATCTTGTTAGTATAAATCTGTTTGCGAGGGTGAACGGATACATACTGCTGTCCATGAGCTTCGGCATGCCCACCATGAGAACCAGACTGACGAGAGCCATAAGGATCATGGGGTTCTTGAGGATAGCAAAGACCGAGACTGCTATATGTTAGCGCTGATCAGTTCACGGAGAATTGAAAACCGAGACTCACACTGCGGCCTCTCCATAAAGTAATTCTTTCCCCCAATAGCCCGCAACTCAAAACCTCGTCCCTTACTCCCCTCCTTCACCTGCACAACCTCCCCCTTATTCCCCCAGTCATTGCCCCGATACGTCTCCCACGCCCTGACAATTCCCTCCTCCCCATCCTCCGCAAGCTGAACATCAATCCTCAGCGGATGAAACGCGTCAGTCGGACAGTGAACATCAGCAAGGTACGAGCCAGGCGTGACGTTGTGAAAGACAAAAGTGTTGGCGGAGGACAGCGGCGCGGAGAAGTGGACACCTGCGGAGGAGAGCGTGGCGTGCGTGTTGGCGGGGATGCTGAAGGGGTTGGGATTGGAGGGGAGATAGAGGGTTAAAGAGTCGGCGAGAGCCAGAGGGAAGAGCGCGAGAATAGCGCTGGTTTCGAAGGTGAAGCGCATTTTGGGCGGTGGAGGTTGTGAGAGGTGAGGTTAGATAGAGGTTGACATTGTGACGTTTTTGGTGCTGGAGGAGAGAACAAGTGGGCCAATCAGATGGGGGAAATGTGCGGGTGTGGCTTGGGATGACGCAGCCACAGTTGAGAGCTTCTAAGCTTGATATCAAGACATGCTGAGATTGAATAAGTAGTCAATTGGTATTCACGTTAAACAATCAATACTACTTTGAAGCTTTTAATTGTCGTACTCGACTGCTTTGTATATGCAATGTCTTCATTTTGACATCCGCAACACATCTTGTTCCACCGACACAAGAACATACCCCTCAATGTCTCACAATGTAAGTAAGGGGGAAAACGAAGTTGGCATGAAAAAGAGTGGCATAGACGCTCATCTAAATTACGCTCTTCTAAAAACTATTTATTTGGGTATCGAGTTCATCAAAGACGCATAAGTCCACTCCTTCGTTTCCCGTGATATGAATCAGACATTTCAGTTCATCCAGCGTCACAGATCGTATAACAAACACTTTTTGGTCTCATCAGCAGCATTATCCCTTCCCATTTGACAAAGAAATCCCTTTCCCTCAAGCCTCAGATGTGCCGTTGGTTGTGGCGCTCTTCTCCTTGAGCTCCTTGACCTCGGCCTCGAGGGCCTTGACCTTCTCGAGAGCCTCCTTCTTCTCGCCCTGGATGGTCTTGACCTTCTCAAGGGCGTTGCTGAAGGCGGACTGTGCTGTCTTTGTTTTCTCCTCGGCATCGGCCTTCTCCTTCTCCAGAGCAGCAGCCTTCTCCTCAGCGGCCTTCTTCTCGGCCTCCAGGGTCTTGGTCTTTTCATCTGCCTCCTTCTGCAGGGACTCAGCCTTGGCGACGGCATCGGCCTTCTCCTTCTCAAGAGCTTCGACCTTCTTAGCGGCCTCCTCAGACTTGGCGAACTTCTCCTTGAGCTCCTTGAGTTCGTCCTCAAGGGACTTGGTCTTATCGGCGGAAGACTTCTTCTCAGATTCGGTAGCAGCCTGGGCTTCCTCGAGCTGCTTCTTAAGAGCAGACTCGGAATCTTGAGCCTTCTTTGCGTCAGCCTCGAGGGCAGCAACCTTAGCCTCGGCCTCATCAGCCTTAGACTTCAATGACGCTTCAGTCTCCTTGGCCTTAGCCTCGGCCTCCTCGGCCTTGGACTTCAGTGAAGATTCAGACTCCTTAGCCTTGGCGGCATCAGACTCGAGGCTCTTGACCTTGTCCTCAGCCTCCTTGAGCTTGGCGTTCAAACCAGACTCAGACTCCTGGGAGTTCTTGGCGCTGGACTCAAGATCGGCGATCCTGGCCTCAAGCTCCTTCTTCTCCTATGCAAATGTTAGCGCCTTTAATAGGTATGTAATCATGGTGAGTATTTACCGCTTGGGAAGCCTTCAGGTCTTCCTCGGCCTTGGCAACCTGGGCCTTGGCCTCCTCGATTTCCTTCTCGAGCTCGGCAAGCTTTGATGTCTTCTCGTTGAGCTGCTTCTCGACAGACTCGCGCTCCTCATTGGCAGCCTTGAGCTTAGCCTCGGTTTCCTCCTGCTTCTTCTGGATGGCCTCGTGGTCGCTGGTGACGGTCTTGAGCTTCTCAGCTTGCTCATCACGTTCCTTCTTGAGGGCGTCGTGCTCGTCGGTAGTAGACTTGAGCTTGGCCTCAAGGTCGGCAGCCTCCTTCTTGATCTTCTCCAATTCAGCAGATGAGTCACCCTGAGCCTTGGTCAAGGCAGCGGTGTGGTCCTCGGTAAGCTTCTTCTGGGCCTCCTCGGCAGCAGCAAGATCCTTCTTAGCAGTCTCAAGGTCCTTGGACAGACCATCATGTGTAGACTGAAGAGAACCGTGCTTCTCCTTCCACTCAGCAGCATCCTTTTGAGCCGCGACAAGCTCGGAAGAAGAGTTGCTCTTGAGAGACTCATTGGTCTTCTCGAGGTCAGCAACCTTCTCCTTGAGCTCAGCAAGCTCCTTCTCAAGAGACTTATTGGTCTCCTCGAGAGTAGCGTACTTTGTCTGGAGGTCACCAAGCTCAGAGAGCTGCTTCTTGAGTTCAGACAACTCGTTCTCAGAGTCGGCCTTGTGCTTGTTGTGTGTTTGTTGGAGAGCATTTGTCTTCTCTTGAGCCTCGGCGAGGTCCTTCTTGGCAGTAGCGATCTGGGAGTCGGACTGCTCCTGGAGCTTGTCGAGTGTCTCTTGGAGAGCGGCGTACTTCTCCTCGGAACCGGCCAAGGCCTTCTTCTGCTCGTCGAGGGCAGTGACGGCGGCGGCCAGGTCGGTCTCGAGCTTGGCGTGGCTGGATTGTAGGGTGGTGAACTTGTCTTCGGAACCGGTCAGAGCCTGCTTGCCTTGCTCAGCGGCGCTGGAAGCGGCAGCAAGCTCTTCCTCAAGTGTGCTGTGGGCCTTGGTAAGAGTCTGATGCTTCTCCTCGGCCTCGGAGATCTGTGTCTTGAGAGTAGCAATCTCCTTGGTGAGAGCAGCCTCGAGGGCCTCGCGGGCCTCCTTGGCCTCAGCAAGCTCTGCCTTGAGGCTGGCGAGCTCATCGGCAATGGATTGCCTCTCCTGCTCCAGACCCTTGAGCTTCTCTTCGGTAGCAGTCAGGCTGGTCTTAGCATCCTCGAGCTCCTTGGCGTTCTTCTCAGCAGACTCCTTGGTAGATCGGAGCTGCTCGGAGGAGGAGTCACCGCCCTTCTTCAACTCTTCCTGCAAGATGGCGATACGGGCGTGAGTCTCATCAAGGGCAAGAGAAGACTGAGCCTCGAGCTCCTTGATCTTTTCCCTCAAATCCTCAGCATCTTTGGATACTGTTGTGCATTCCTTCTCCTTCTTTGAGAGGTCTTCCTCGAGGACGGCGATGGTTTCTTCCCTGTCGGCAAGTTGCTTCTCGAGAGCTTGTCGCGCTGCGACGGAGTCTTCACCGCTACTACTAGAGAATGCAGAGACAACGCCGCCCATATCGAATCAGTAATGGGGAATGTGGGGTGTTTAGAAAAAAAGTTTGAGGAGAGGAGGGGTCAGGAAGATGATCGGTAAGGCAAGAGAGGAGGAGAAGAGGGGAAGAAAGGAAACAGAATAGGGTCACTAGAAGATCGGGAATCTCTTAGAGTTTTTAGGTAAAAAAAGAGACAAAGAGGTTGGCTCGGCTGGAGGTTGGAGATGCCGTTGTTGAAGTATGAGCTTGAGGTGGTGTTGCAGTAGCGGCAGCGGATTATGGAGACGTAAGTTATGGGGGGACAAAAAAAAATCGTATCAGACCAGGCCAGGCCAGTCCGCCCCGGGCTCCAGTCCAGCTCCAGATTAGGTAGGCCACCATACCATGCGCTAAACAGCTAACCACCAACACTTATCACCAGGCTGTGATAATTTTCTCAGGCGGTCACCTCGGTGATAAAATGAAATGGCTGGGCCGTGCCGTGATTTGCACTTCGATTTACTGTTTCCTGTTCCTTCTCTGTATAATTTGGGTAAGTAGAAGGTGCCAAAGGGTCAATTGACGGCCTTACCGCACTTTAGCATGGGATCTTTCGGGTCTGAATTTGCTGCCCATCATCCAATATCCACGCAGCTTTTTTGTCCTCTAGTGGGGTTGTCAATGAACGACATGTCACCCTTGCAAGCTCCATCGTTCAGATTTTCAATCAACGTACATCCATATCCATATCCATTCCCGCTTGTACCTAGGTAAGGTAAGGCAAGGCAAGGTAGGTAGGGTGGTCATCCATGATGTGGCATGCTTTACCGCCTATCATTTGATTCAAGAAATGTCGCATTGTTACGTTGGCAGTTGAACAACGAGGCCGAGAATTGTCAATCAGACTACCTCTACTCGACTCAGACTCAGTCAGAGCCCAATATTCACTCCCAATTCCTCCCTCCCCTCCCTACCAAGACAAGACCAGACCCAGCCCCCCATGAACAACAAACTTTTTTGTTTTGGTCCCGCCAAAAGACTCCGCGCTTTATCACCCGACGACTCATGGGCCTGCCTCCTGGGTCCCGGTCTCGCCATCATGCACCAATTTCTATTGTATCCGTGCATTGTTTCCTCTATGCTGGACGTTTCGTCATTATCACTTGCATTGCTAGACCCTGGTGCTGCTCTTTCACATGCCTGTTATAGTCAAAGCTTTTATGTCGACATCCGTCATGATATGCCTGACCCGAACGATTTACTGAGTGAAACAAAGATTGAGACAAAGCTTCAACGGGCCTTGATGAAACATAGCCTGCAGAATGCTACCTTTGCATATGCAGGTGCCTATATATAAACAAACATGTCTCATGCTCGCTCTTTCTGGCCTCTGAGTCACTTTTCTCTCGCCTTTTTGCCAAATTACTTTCCAGATCGATCAATGTCCTTCCAAATAGATATCCAGCCGTAATTCCTCGGCTTGACCGTCAAGTAACCCCGGTTTATGCGAATCAGACTGGGGCCCCATTTGCTTTTTGCTCCGCCCAAGACTCCATGCGCTATCCTTCATGGACTCGTCATTACATATTCCATTTCAAATCAAATTAGAGTGTAATCAATGCATTGCCGGCATGAGAGGGGAGTGATTCATGTGAGTGTGCCATGATGGGACTAATTCTGAAAACCCATCATGTCCGATCTTGGCGATCATGCCCAGCATCAAAGTTGAGGTCGTTTCCGTTTTCAGGGGAACCTCAACAGACATCCTCTATTTCAAGAGTAGTCTACCTCAATTCACAGAGGTGCTGGTGTGATCAGCTTCCCGGTTGTGTCATTAAACAAAAGTCGAATATAGAGTCGAAGTCCGAAGTTACTCATCTAAACGTAGCTCGGAACGGCCCTTCAACCTTGACATCCCTGATACCTTCCGGCATCAGTCGCAGCCATTCATTCCAGCTTTCGAGGTCGACGTTGTCATCGTCCAGTCGAATAGACAAGTGTAATTGGGGACTGTTCTCATACGAAGAGAAACTTCCTCGCGTGGGGCTGTTCTGGTACACCGGAGAAAGGAAGATGGACGGAAGCCTCGAGTTGCCCGACATCATCATGTGCAGCGGCGAGGGGAAACTGGTCAATACTTCTTTCTCTGGATACTTGTCTTGGACCATTTTGGCGTACTGAGAGAACAAATTCGCGTGCAGCTCGGCAGCCGAAAGAGGACTCAAGCGTGCTGCCCGGACTCGCAGTTGTTCAGCAAGGGCCCGAGTGAATGCACAGCGATCAAGATCGTAATAATGCTCTTCTGATACCGAAGCTGCAAGTAGTTCCAGGACGCCCTGTTGTCGAACCATTCTGGACGATGGGTAATATGCAGCATCCATAATAATCAACGTATCGGCACAAGCCTCTTCGAGAGTTTGTTGTATACCACCCCACCGGATTGTTGAGGCTTGTTCTGGATTTCGCGAGCTGCCAAGTCTTAGCCGGTATCATCAATGCAGAAGGGGGTGGCAAACGGCATACCTTGCCAGAACCATCTCACGATTGCCATCGAGGTATGTATGTCCTGCGTAATAGACTATCTTCAACACATCACGCTCATCGCGGTCCTCGACAAACTCGTTGAGTGCCCTTGATAGCCACCTCCATGAGCTTTTGCAGCCGTCAGAGGACGACGGGATAGCTTGAACTTGAAAGTTGTAGCGATAATACTTATCAAAAACCTCAGCGAGCTCCCGGACAGCGGTCTGAATTATCGGGACCTCTTCATCGTCTTGCCAGAACAGGAACAGAACCTGCACAGAACTGTATCGATCCCGACTGGGAGTGGAAAGCATACGCCCCACATTGGATTGGAGGTCGTTCTTGAAGCTCTCGATGCCAGGTAAAGACAGGGATTTCTCGAGGCGAGGGCCCGATGGCAAAGGGGTACGAATTCGAGCGTCACTTAGCGGAGGTCGGCCGGGCAGGTTGGAGCCAGGAGTACTGGAATCGATATCCATTTCCTGGGTATCGTGGAACAAGGCTTGGACATTGGTGATCGCGGGGGCGGGGCTCAACGGTCGGCCGGCAGCGGCGAGGGAAGGTGCAATGTCCTGAATAGTCGGGCTATGCGAACGATGAAACTTGGTTACGACGTCTTCCCATGTCATATTATGATGACTGGGGTGGCACTGCAATAATGGAGACAAGGGTTGGCATATAAGTCCATATAAAAAGTTTGTGTGGCAGATAGAATGGGTATGACTTACAGCGACTCGCCGCCTCCTACAGTCAATGCATGCACCCAGCTTTCGAATGAGTGCAGCGCGTTCTCTGGACTGCTGAGAAAGGGGCCCGGTCCGTCTCCTGCTCGTGCGGCGGTTGTTAGAGACGTCGGAGCCATCCTTTATAGAGAAAATGGACTGGTGCAAGTTAGGAGAGGTGTCGGCACTGTACGATGTGTTATTGGTCTCTGTGGAGGCCAAGGTAGCGCTAGTGGCCTGAGTTGAGATGGAGGAGCATGTGTCCTTTCTCAGAGGCGGCGTAACGGGGTGGAGGTTGTGGTGAGGATGATGGTGCTGCTGCTGCTGTTGGTGTTGTTCGAACGTATAATGCGCCGGTGAGGTCGGCGACGGTTGGCGGAGCGGGGGAAGCTCATCTGGATTTGGCGCGAGTGGATGGGCGGAGACTGATGCGACAGCTGTTGCGGCGGCGAGAACAGCAGGCAGCGAAGCAGACTGAGCAGAGGGCGAGGGAATTGAAGGTAAGGATGGCGTCGGAGCGGTTTCGGATACAGAGGTCGGCTGCGATGGAGATGGAGACGGTGGAGGTTGCGGCTGTTGGTGTTGGTGTTGGTGTTGCATGGACGGAGCAGCAGGAGCTGGAGAAGCCTCGGCCATGCTGTGAGCGACAGAATTCATGCTGATAGGTAAAGAGATTAAATGAGCGTCAGAACTATTCAAACGCCCATTATCTCAAACTTGAGGGAGAAGAAGGGTTGAAGTAGGCAAAAACAGCTCGCAGATCAGGAAGCTTGCCAATAAGCCAATTGCTTAGATATATATCTGTATTGCCAGTGGGTGTGTCAATTGTGTATGTGCAGGCGCAAGCATACGGCACAGGCTGCACAAGCGATGGGCGCGTTGATATGTGTGCGTCGATGGTACCGTAAGTAAGAGAAGTGTTCACCCCACCATCAAATATTTCCAGCCTCAGCAAATAGAAGCGCCAGCAGTGTATAGATAACCGCAGCTTTGCAGGCGCACTGAACGAGTTGTAGATGCTGGGAGAGGAAGATCCGCAGAAGCAACTTTGTGCCGAGATGGTGAACGGCGAGCTTAGAAGGGCTTCTGTGTGGGGAAATCTTGAGTTGGTAAGGCAGAAAATTAAACACCCTGGGGCGAACTGAGAGACGCAGAGACAAATGGATAGAAGATACTGAAATACTGTGCAATTCAATTGATCGCAGCGGAGTGCAGTGAGGCCCGGCGCAAGTAATGTATAGAGATATGGAGTGGTAATAGCAGACCAACGATGATTAAGCCGACGATGAGCTTCACAATTGGACCTTGAACAAGACGAAAGTGTATCAACGTCTAGCTAGGTGCGCGATGCAAGATAGCCAGTGGACGATACCTCAATTCGTTGCAAGACGCCCAGTTTCGGCTGCTAGCTTGTGGGATCGAAGGAAATGTTTGGTCGGATCAAGGTGACCTGAAGGCGAGATGAGAGTCGTATATACGAAAAGCCGGCCTATGATGTACTAAGACGGATTTCAAGATGTCGTTCAGGTGAGCGGGAAGCGTAATGGTGAAGCAATGAAGCAGACCAAGGTCACTTGAACAAGAAGATGGGATGCTAAAGAGAAATAGCTAACAAGAGCAAGAAAAAGACAGCGCAAGTTCATGCCATGGAAAGAGACCGAGAGTGTTCCGTCGTCGCGAAGACTGACCTGAGATGAATGGAGTGGCGTGTAAAAAGGTGAAGAAAGCGGAGGGGAGGGCGTGGGAGAGAAAGCTACAGCTGTGACTCGACCAATCAGACAGTAGTTTGGAGGGTCTCACAAGCGAAAGTGGGGTAGGGGCGTGCGCGGAAGCAATTAGGTACTAACTCACCATGCACGGCGGAGAGGAGCGCTGCTGGTGACAATGCCCGCCAGAGGGGAAGTGGATTTCCCCGGGAAGCAGGAGATCAAAATGAGGTAGCTTTTCACGGCAAATGCATGGACTAGGTACCTGAGGTGAGAGTAAGGGACCGGCCCGGGAATACATTGGCTTGCATTTGGGGGGACCTGAGATTGGGTAAAATGGAACGATTCAATGAACGGAGTAGCCTTGACTTTGATGGTCACTGGATTTCTGGAGTAAGGTGGGTTCAAGGTCAGTCGAGGTCAGAAGCCGAATATGGACAATCAATACCGAGTCGAAGTAACTGCCCATCCAAGCATTGGCTGAGAGACATACATTTGTTGGGGATTTCTCACGAGCAAGACTGAGATAAGATGCATGTCTTAATCATCAGACCAAAAAAATCCAACATTTCTCAAAAGGCCAATGACAGACAAGTCGACCGTGGGATGAGGTTCATGAAGCAAGACAAGGTGAGACGATTTAGGCTAGACCCGGCTGTAAATCCCGGCCGAGGTGAGCGGTAAATCTCGGTATGAAATGGAAAATGGCAGCACCTTCCGTTTGACATCACAACGGTTTAAGGAATCAATCTCGAGTCTCGAACATCCCAGGAGTAAGGATCTTGACAACAGAACCCAATTGATCAAATCTGCATCCCACTAGACTGGTTAAGCTACAGTAGCGTTATGTGATGATACGCGGCTCTGGCGGCAAATGCTAAGGTACCCTTGTTTTCTTGCTTGCTCTGCCCTGTCTGCAATGTACTGTACCTTCCCATATTAACATGCGCTTGTAACGTGACGACGTGGGTTTCTGGTGTTCCTGCCAATCCAAACATCACATCAGTAAAGGACTTTCCTCGGAATTGCTTTCTTTTTCGGAGGCAGTACATCTCATCTCCCCACTGAATCCCCCTCAAATGTGATCCAATCTCTTCTTTAACCGTACCCAAATATGTCGATTTCAACCGCACATCGGCTATTGGCACTTGACATGTCAAGATCGAGCAACATGTCAGACGAGGCGATATCGGCTCAACAGGGCTCTAGTCAATTACTCCGAACATTGGGCCTTTGATCGAACGAAGGAGGTTGCGATGTTCAATACTCGAGTCTGTATAAATCCGCCCACATCAAGCTTCATCTGACCAGACTGAACGATTACAATGCACTGGTCCATATGCACGCTAACATACCCCCCGGACATCTCAAAGAAGCAATCACCCACATCTTCTTCGAGGCAGAACTGGGGGAGGCATCTATCAGCCAATCTTAAGCCAGCAAAGCAAGAACTCGATCAAAATGTGCTATGCTGGGATCAAGTTCAGAGATCCATCTGCTTCATGGAACCATCTCCCAGTTCAAGTTTAAGGTCAGACAGTCTGCGTGTAACCCGTACCACGGACTGATGGATGGCTAAACCCTGTGCGTCGCATGGCATGCCTATGGCACCCTGTGAAGAGATCCGTGCAAGGACCCGTTGTCCAAAGCATCTGTTTGACCGGAGGTGCAACACCGAGCACAGACGATACAGCTCCCCTGGCTCTCAACGTCACAAGCTGGGACGCATCACGTCGTTGCCTTCTTCATTATCGGAAGCGAAAAGCTACCCAACATTCTCTTTTTCCCCTCTCCTTCTCAGTTTCAAGATCATGCTCTCGTGGGCTCTTTGGATTCTGAATTCGCGACTGCAAGCATAGACAATATGTCTCATGTTTGCATTCTGCGTTTCCACCCCCATGAGGTGACCGGGTTCCGTCACCGGCGGGTGGGTTGTCGCGGCCAGCCTCGTCGGCAGCTGCAACCTATGCTAAGACATGCTATGCTTGCATGAGTGTTATAACACTACGTAGTTGAGAAGAACATCAATTGGCCTTTTGTACCGTCATTATCTTTTGTCCCAAAGCAAACCAATTAATCGACGCCACCGATTGGCCGTAGCCTACTTACGTTAGGTTCTTATTCGTTTCCTGATGACACAAGTCTTTTTGTACGTTGGAAACATTGTTGCCAACTCTCTCACTCGCAACATCAAGCTTTTCAATATCTCAAGCTCGACAGAGATGGTAAACAGCGCTGGACTTGCGACCTTGCTTCTGTGCTGATACAAGGCCCAGCCTTAAGATGACGTGTGGTATTGAACCGACTTCCCCCTTGACCATATTTCTTCTATCGAGACAAGCCAAGTGTAGGATGCCGTTGAGGCTCGATACATTACCCGCGGTTAATCACTTACACCTGGACCAGCTCAACGCACCTACCGCTCACACTACTGCGAGTTAGAGCTTGGCTCCCACAAATTGTCTCCATACACTTTAGTACTGGTGGTTCCATAGGCGCGCCTCCATATTGCAGAAGCAGCTCTTAAGCCATCCAAGGAGAAAGAAACCACTCAGACTAGCACTGCACGGAGTGTTGTCATTCGCCGCCCGCCGACCCCCGTTCCGGTTCGGTGAGAAGGATGTGTGGCCCGTACCCACGCTACATCGAAGTGATTCGGCTTTGAACTCGGGAAGAAGCACCACAAACTCAATTTGTCAACCAGGCACGTTGTTTGATGGTGGTTGTTAGTGAACGGTCAGTTTTTTGCTGCAGAGCCCCAGGCACATGGCCGACCGTCCATCATCCGTCATCCCGTCCCTCCAATTATTGTTAGTTATCACCTGAAGTATTAACCACGCACCCTGTTCTATGTACGGCAGACTGTTCCTTGGGGCATGCACGACAGAGCTGCCTTGCACTAAAATTCGGAAAGCATAAATTCTATTACGGCATTACAATTATCAAATCGACTCGATTAGATTGGACCGGCAGTGGCTGAATTCCGCCCAACTTCGACATGAAAAGAAATTTTGTCTTTCAGGTGCTTGATCGGCTCACCTCACCCCAGAATTCGTGAAGAGAAATCATCGGCAGCTAAGGGACCTAGATGCCAAGGGCCCATTATCATTATCAGGGGTCCCTACTGGCCAAGTCCTGGGTCAATTCTCCGCCCCCATGCTCACAAACCAAAGCAAGGGCCCAGTCTTTTCTTCTTTTCTTCTTGCTGAAGCCTGTGGGCCTAACATCTGGGGCAGGTTCAAACAGATTCACCGAGGTTAAGTCGAATGCTACGAAGCAAAGCCGCTCACCTCGTAAGTGCACAGTCTTAGATGCAATGTTACTGCGGATGTCTTGAGAACGGTTGTGGATGTGCAGCCTTGTTACAAGACGGTGACTGAGACCTCTACATGGTCACACACATTGTCAGTTGTCTGCCTGCCTTCAAGTCGGTCATTCTCTCATATGCTTATGAGCATAGCAAGCCCATATATGATCCCATATTCATGACTTGAATCATTTTATGTCTCAGTATTCCTGCAATGTGGTGTATGCCACCTCTTGGAACAAAGAGGGTGTTGTGACACACATCAAACTCCCTTTCACCCCAGTCGAACCTGGCTCCGGGTCTTCACCGAGATCTTTTCACGAGACATCATCAGATCCGATCCACTTTTCAGTTCTCGTTGTTGGTCCAAGCTTGAGCAAGGACTCGTTGATTCATCGGCACCATGTTCCTTTTTGACGGATGGGCAACCGACCCCGACGTGACTCTAAGTCCTTTACAATAGGCCAATCGGTGTTGCGATCTCCACCAAACACATTAGATTCACCGATACAAGGCGTCTTCAACCGACGGAGAAACAATCCGAATGCTCTTTATTTCACCAGTTCGATTCTGATTAATTGGGTCGAGGACGTTAGATTCACGAAGCTGACACATTTGAAACCCCATGGCATCTGACGGAGCTCTCACCTTCATTTCACGTCACATTAGCACGACGCTTGACATATTTCCAGATCACCTCATGTTGGGCTCAGGTTCTCCTGCTACATACATACCGCACAGCTGTTGAAGGTCAGGCAGTGACTCCGGACTTGTCTCCGGTGCTGGTTCCCGAATATCGAAAGGCACTTGCCGGACTGGGCCCCGTACCCATGCGGGATTGGACAGAGCTTTCGTCTTATCGGTTCATCGTAGGCCGAGAAGACCGTCCCGGTACCTCCTCTCGTAGGCATCCGCAGTGGCGGAATGACCGCGGTGTAACTGCCGCCTACTTCACGCCTTACTATAGACCCCAGCTGCCGCCTGTATTTGAGTATGCACGGAGTCTATAGACTTTTCGATGTGCATCATGGGTGCTGCCTCCCACGCATCGAGACCTCCAATGACAAAAACCCTGGCTTTTTGCGAACTTATGGAGACTACATGGTGACAATGTAAGTCGATCGGCATCCTTTTGGGATACCGCTCATGTGATCTTCGGTATTCTTGAATCAAGCTGTTGAGTGGGTTGTACGCTTTGTGAGCCTGAGCAACGTGGTTCAGTTTCGTGCGATATTTCAAGGATCGAAAATGTATACTCCTCATATTGGCATCCTGCTACATGACATGCATCTAGCTACTCCGGTAGTGATGCTTCATAACCATGGAATGGAACAAATATACAAGAAGACGCCGACAAGTTATTAGCTTAAATGAGATAGAGATTCTTGCCACCATTCAAACCATTATAATCACCATTTCTGATTCTTTGTCCATGGAGAGCTCTTAAGCTCGCCCTTATCATTCTTACTTGTCCCAATCTCATCACGTTTGTCATCAACTAATCTCCCCCATTCAAGCAGTAGTCTGAAGAGATAGACTTCTTTATCCTTTTCTCCTAACGCTTGGTTTGCCCACTTGGCACCCTGCTGTGCAATCCAGGCGCCATCCTTGGCCAGCCCCTTCATGTCAGTATCGCGCCCGTTGAGGTATGCTTTCTTCTGTGTACCAGTAAAGTATGTCAGGGTGGTGTGCAAACCCTGATAACGCGTATCGATGGGCACGAAATGCAGCCAGGGAATCAGGCGATCGCTATACCACGTACGGAAGATGGTGGAGATAAAAGGTACGCTCTTTGAGCGGAGCACGCGGAGAAGGTCGGGTGAAGGCCCGTGGTCCTTATCCAAGAGGAGGATGTAGCGGTATTCGAGGGGTTCCTGGTCCTGAGCTTCGTTGACGATGGGATACGTCTGATGAAGAAGCTCACAATTGGGGCCTATGCAGCCTGTGTAATTGTTCATGCCGACACTCGATGGAAGGACAAGATTCGCTTCCGTAATTGGTACCTTTTCATGTCGGTATACTGATGCGTCTTTTGCCGTTGGAAGAACCATCGAGACCTTGTCCTCGGGATTTTGGTTACCCAACATATGAAGGAGCCGGAATTTATGATTGCCGCGCAAGGCCTGGTCTGAAATAACGCCATTATCAGTTTGACCACGCCAAAACATGGCGTCGTAGCGACGGTCAAAGTTCCAGCCTATATCAGCTCTGTCGTCGTCTTCCTGTGGAAGAGGTATTAGGATGTCATTGAACGGCTCCGACTTGGAGAACCCAAACAATGGCAAAAGGTCCCTGATTGGTTCCGCATGAGGACTTGAGAGAGACATGCCGTGGAGGTACTTGAGATCAGGCTGGAAGCAGTACTGGAGTGATCGTTCCCAGTTGACCATGAGTTGCGCCTTTGAGTGCCTTCGTACGCACTCGGCGCAAAACTCTCCAATGTTCCAGTGCGGGTTGGTTCGAGTTCGTGAGCCAGGAGGGCATGCTTCAACCTGCATCTGGCGATAGTTGGCTGGGCTTATCATGGAGGGCTCCCTGTCTTGGGGATAATCTGGCAGCGCTGGCAAAGGGGCAGGCACGGGAGTCTCTGCAGATCTGGCTTCCTTTACTTGATCTGCGTCATCTTCTTTGACTGCCCTCTTCGATATCAGATTGACGATTGGGGTCAGGTCAGCTCTGCTGTGCCCATTCGCCGTCTCCCATGATGGAAGAATCCGTGGTGTAATTCCCAAATTAACGGGAAAGAGTATGTCAGGGAGAAATTTAGCAAACTTGTTGATGGTTACGACGAGGCCGTCCAGCACCTCGGCATCATGACCAGTGACTTCAGGTAGCCTCGATGCATTACCGTCCTTGATACCGATTGTATGGATGCCAGGCATCTGAGACAATATGGAAGCTCGTTGTCGAAGTTTGTTGGGTGGGATGGCTCTGAATGGGGCCAAATCTTGGTCGATCTGATCAAATTTATCAATGACAACAGTATCTTTGGCCAGGTCATACCAATCTGGAAATGCCGGGGGAGGATCCCGTCCTTCATGTCGTTCCTTATAGATCTTGTGAGCGATAGGAAGACTCCCACTTGTGCTCGCTTCCTGCATCCAACGGTCTTGCCTGATATTGGCTCTGTAAATGAAGTCATTGACAGGATGACGCTTGAAAGTCTGCGGATCCGACTTGGCAATGAACACAGTAGTGCCCACAACAAGGCCAACGAGGAGAGCCATGAGAACGAATCTTCTGATGAAGATGACAGATTGAATACCATGAGTGTATGTAAAGATGATCATGCCGAAAGCAATGAAGTAAAGTGGCGTGATCTCATGAAGGCGTGTAGGGTGAAGGTAGTCTCCGTAGTTGAAGATGTTATGGCAGGCCTTTGCTGTTCCTACCAGAAAGGTGATGATAGCGGATGGTGTAAGCGGTGATGTCTCGCAGACCCAGAACGTAGCTGAGATCATAAGTGCTGCAAAGGCAACACTGTCGACGATGATATCAAATCCGTAGAGAAAGCCAAACCCAGCGTGAAGCACAGACGAACCCCTGAAAAGCCTGCTCCCCACCCACACAAGGCTCATCGATATCGAAGAGAGGGTCAAGACCGTACCCAAAGTCCGTAAACGAAGCTTAGCTGTGCGCGACCAGGCGAGCAAGCGCCAAAGAAGAATCACGATGATGGCATCAAGCACAAGTCCCATACACTGCAAAGCAAGGGTTGACCGCTTGCTCTCGAGGAGTTCAAAGCAATAGTATGTGGAGCGTGTTATGCGGCTTGTGGCGTAGTATGTGCCTGTAGAAAACACCACGAGACTAGACACCGCCATAGTGAGCATAACTCTTGGGCCACTGAACCAGTCGACCAAGTCATCAAAGCATGAACGCCAGGGGTCATCAGGGTCTTCTGGCGGTGGAAAGCCCCATTTTCTTCGAGAGGTGAAGATTTCATAAGCGAAAAAGAGAAGTGGTAGAAAAGACTGAACGATTGTAAGCTTCCCTACGATCCATTTGTGATAAAGGGCATAGTCTCACCTCGAGGCCAGGGGTTGCACATTGTTGCTGATAATTGACACGATGGAATATTTCCAGCCTCAATACAATGCATAATACAAGGATCGGAAGGGAAAGTCTTCTTGGCCTTCCAGGAAGATGTGTGTTCTGCCCCTTTCGAGCATCATGTGTACCATCAAGTAGAGAGCCTTGACGACGATGTGTCGTGAAGCGTCCGTCTGCACCAGGAAACCACTTGGTTATACAACTGACTCCGTAGCATACTAATCCAGAGAGAAGAAATACAAGAAATGATGATAATCTCGGACTCTCTAAGCAATATCTCATGTTAGGTCTGGCTGCATATCTGGAACGACAGGGCTAGGACTAACCTGTTAGAGAATGGCGTTCAAGGGTTTGAGATATGTAAAAGAATGAAGAGGCAGCACTATAAACAACATTAGTTATTATACATTTTGAGACTTGATAAAGAGGGGGGAATGTACCATAAGGCAAACAATTGAACCACTGTATCTCCAGCCATGATGGCTTTATCAGCACCCTCAGGGCCAAGATAGACTGAAACAACAAATATTTAAGCTTGGAACGCCTCCAAACCACTCATGTCGTCGCAGTCCGGTGTTTGACTCTCAACCAAAGCATAGATATTAACTCCAAGTCAGTATTTTCATCAATCGCAATTTCATATCGTCGTCATGATAGAGAAAACACAAGACAACACCCCTGCTCAATTCTGGCTGATTATCAGGGGACTGCTGACGAACACCCCTGAAAATTACCTAAGCGGTCTTTTATTCGCTGGACGTTCTACGTACAGCGGTTTGAAACACAAACGGTCCACTAAAGTTTAGGGGCATCATGGCTACCTGTCTATCTGATAACGACTTTAAACCTGCATGTGATGTAACAGCTCAAGTTAATGCTTCATCATGGCCGGCCTCAACGACGTGCCCTTCATCAAGGGTCTTGCCGTGCCCTCTGTATGCGCTCTGATCACATTCCTTGGCTATTTCTCCCAATTTCTCTTCCACTACTCGACGTCTCTCGAACCAGGTCCTCCCTCGCGCCGCGAAACCATCATCTTCAACACCCTCCTCTTCACACTATGGTTAACGTACTACCGAGCCGTAACCGTCGATCCGGGCCGCTATATATTCAAGGATCGTGTTATTGAGGCTGATGGGCAGCGATGGTGTAACAAATGCGCGGCACCGAAACCAGCTCGGGCGCATCATTGTCGCCATTGTGCAAGGTGTGTTCCCAAGATGGATCATCATTGTCCTTGGACTAGGAACTGCGTATCAATGACTACATTTCCGCACTTTCTACGCTTCTTGGTATATACAAACATATCGCTCTGGATGCTTGGCTACTTTCTATGGCAACGCTTCTCTAAGATCTGGGAACATCGAAAACTGCCTGCATACCTAGGACCTAGCTTATCAGGACTAATCGGACTATCGCTGATTGCAATCGTCAACTTCTTTACCACTGTCGCTTTGGGTATCATGCTCATCAACACCATCAGGTCATGGATATTCAACCAGACTATGATAGAAGGATGGGAGCAGGAGCGCCATGAAGCTCTCATGGATAAAGGACCCAAGGATTGGTGGGACATTACAGGCCCCGACGGCGAGAAAGTGCGCTTCGAAAGACTCGAGTTCCCCTACGATATCGGTTTCTTTGACAATATGGCTCAAGCAATGGGCACCCGCAACATCCTCATGTGGTTCTTCCCCCTCGGAGGAAACCCCGCCATCGCTAAGGATGGCACTGGCTCAGGCTGGGAATGGGAAGAGAACGGCTTCAACCGCGTCGAAGGTCTTTGGCCTCCTCCTGATCCCGACAAGATTCGTCGAGCTGCACGGGGTTGGCCTGCCGCGAATCGCGACTACGCCGAGGAGCTTCGCCAAGCGAACATGAGCTCCAGCGAGTTCAAAGCCGAGTTTCTCCAGCGAAAGGCTGACGATGAGAAGCGCAAGAGACATCTCATGGCGGAACTGGAAGAGGTTGATGACTATGATATGTATGATGATGAAGAGTATGACCGTGAATTCGATCAAGGTCTTGGATGGGTGAACTCGGACGGCGATAGACTGCGAGATTACGGTGTTGATGAGGAAGAGTCAGAAGCTGAGGCGGCAGACGAAGATGTGCCCCTGGCCGAGCTCATACGAAGACGAAAAGTGCCACAGCGAGATATTTCAGACGATTAGATGACACGACATGTATAATAGAGTATAAAAGTTCAAAGTCAAAATATTTAACCCCTTCTAAAAATCTGTAATCTTCTTGCAATGAATATGAATATCTTCGTCCATCAGTCCATCCCAGAACGACCCTTCTTACAAACGCTTGCCCAAAGCATCAAAAGAAAACCAAAACCAAACTCGGCCGTGATTTCTTAGCGGCTTTCTACATACCTCGGTTGCCCAGCACAGTCTTGTTCGTTTGTATACAACAGAAGAAAGCACACACTGTCATATATCATCCCTCCTCTTCTCTTGCGCGCTGCGATATGTGTCATGTAATGCAGGTGCAAAAGTTTAACCCATCGAGATTTGTCTCATCATCAAAGTTCTTTTTCGACTCCTTAGTAACATCGTGAAGCATAAACTCGTTATGTCGACTACCAGTCATCGTCATCCTCCTTTTCCTTTTGCATAGCATTCTTCCTAGCCAGCAGGGCATCTGCCAGACTGCCACCCAAGCTGGGTGTGGGTGTGCTGCTGCGGCTATCTCCTCCGTTGGGCGTATTGAGGCTCATGCCAGAGTCACGCTGCTGAAGCTCGGCAGGCTTACGGTTAGCAGCAGGACGCTTGGCTGGGGGCGCAGGGGGTGTTGGCTTGGATCGCGGAGGAGCCGGAGGAGCTCGAGGCGCAGGTGGAGCTTGTTCCTCGACATATGCTGCAGGGACCCAAGCCTGTTGTGCAGTTTGAGGGTTCTTGGCTAACCACCAACCTGGATAAACATGTTAGTAATGTTCAAATTTCTGATACCAAAGGGGTCAAACTTACCATTGGATTCCTTCTGCACGATCTCAACGATCTCATTAGCGGTGATGGTGAGCTCGTTTTCTCGCTGTCCAGCAAAGTCATACAAGACCTTGGCCATCACCTTAGGTGGGCTTGGTGGACGTGCTGCGACAGCAGGAGGAGGCGGCGGTGGGGGTGCACGTCCAGCGCCACTAGCATTGCGAGTATGACTTGGGAGAGCGTTGTGGGCGGCAGGAATTGGAGCAGCAGCGTTCGCACCAGGACGAGGAGCGATACGAGGAGTGCTTTGGGTGGCGGCAGCGGGAACAGCGGCAATGTTGGAGACAGCAGCTGGTGGTTGAGGCACAGCTCGACCTGCCCCTGGTCTAGGTTTGGCAGTTCGGTTGCCCTGGATGCGAGAAGGTCGGCCGTTGGGACCACCAGGCTTGATCAGCTTACCTCGAGTGATGGGGCGAGGAGGTACAGGCTTGCCCTTGGGTGTAGGTCTAGAGACGGAGCTCGGTGGCTCACCGGGCTGTGTGTGAACAGCACCACTCTTGTAGTAATCAACTGGAAGTTGCGAATCCTTTAAGACCTTGACCTGCTGCATCTTGCCGGGCTTCTTGGCATACTCGATTGTCTCAGCGATCTTAAGGTTAAACCCACCGGGCATCACTCGCTGCATCTGAGTAAACATTTCTGTCTTGAGCATACAATTCATCAGGGGGTCAGGTTCCTGAGGGGAGCCAATGCCAAGCGAGAACCAATCATCGCGCGCTGATGAGGCACCGATGAACTTGATGGCTCCCAAGGGGACCGCTTTCTCAACTGAGATTTGTGGGTGGCCATTCACAAGCATTTGAGCAATGATATAGAACTTGTTGGTGGTGACGACGATGATTCGAGGGCTTGCTTTACTGGATCGACCGAACTTGGCCTCCAGAATCTCAGCACGGCATGAAAATACCGCCTTTTCGTTTGTGCCAATACTGGCAGCGTTGCGAATCTGGGCTCCAGGGCCGGTGCTTGCATTGACACCCAGGTAGTCGCCAAGGAATCGTCGGGAACCCAACAGACTCATACGACGTCTCTCCTTGCGACCTCCAAGAACCTGGTGGCCATGGTCACGAAGCTGAAGGTACTCTGCTCCGGTTCGCTTCTTCCGCCAGAATCGCTGAATTCGGGTCGCCGACTCGGCTCGGTAGGCGAGGTAAGCCCTCCACATGCGCTGAATTCGCGTAGCCATGTTGTGCCAGTATCTGTCTCTCATATGCTCAAGGGCAAAGAGCGTCTCAGGGGCTTTGATAAAGGCCTTGGTAACACCCATTTGCCACTCTTCCTTAGGAATACTGGTATCCTTGAGAATCTGCTTTACAGCAGCCTCAGTTGTTCCCTCCCAAGTGAATTCACCAGCGTATGAGGTAGCGGGAGACAAGAGGAAGAATCGATCAACGAACTTGTCGAAATCTTGACGGTAAGCAAAACCGGCACGACGAATACGAACGTTTTCTTGAAGACCAAGATACTTGATCTGATGCAATACATTGGGGCTGTTGTATTCTGTTGGCGACTTGTTCTCGTTGGGCTTGATGGTGCGGATATATGAGGGCTGGCATTTCATCAACGTATCGACCAGGGCATTGGCGGAAGCTCGGATGCGATCGCCTGCAGAGGGAGGTTGCTTTCGGTTATCTTGGTCAACGGGTCGAGGGAACAGGGTATGAACAAATTGGTTTCCACTGTGCTGGAAGAGGTTCAAAAGACCCTTGAGAAGCTGATCCTTGTTCTTATCCGTAATACCTTCGACAGTATAGGTGACATCACCAGCATAATGCTTGATGATGAAGTTTCCTTGCCGAGGGGTAAGATGAGCGTGAGACATGCCGTTGATACTCTGCATGAATGTGCGATCGCAAGCAGCGGGGTCAGCGTGTGCAGTCTTGGTGGCATCCTTCATAGCAGAGAAGATACCAACTGGTCGGATCTGTTCGATAAGGTCACACACAACCTTGTTATCGAAGTACTTAATAGGAGTCCATTGAATCTGTTCCCTGGCATATTCCTCCTGCTCGGCCTTGAGAGTCAGTTGAATGAAGATCTGTTGCAGCTTCTCGTTGACGTAGTTGATGCACAGCTGCTCGAAAGTGTTCTTCTCGAAAATCTCGAATCCATAGATATCCAGAATACCGATTGTGTTGGTTGTCGGTTGTCTCGCCTTAAGAGACTTGTTAATGCGCTCGACGATCCAGTCGAAAAGATTGCTGTAGATGGCCATTGCCAGAGCATCTCGGGTAGCCTGTGCTTGGGCAGGGTTGGCGGGCGATTCGATAACTTCGCCATTTCGAGGTGTCAGAATTCGGATTGTGATACCACTGATGAGCTGGTCAGGGGTAACTTCTAATAGGTAGGCGGCAAAGTCAACCACTGATCGGTCAATAACCTCTGCGTAGCCGCCCTGATCCTCCTGAAACTGGATATTTCCAATCCATAGGATAGCCGCCAGCATTCGGAAAATCTCATCTTGCTCAGCCTGAGTAAGGCCAATAACCTTCATGGCATTGAGCGTGTCCTGAAACTCGGCGAGATCGTCGATACCGTCCACGTCCAAGCATTTTGACCGGCTGGTATAGACGTAGGTCTCGGGTTTTTGAACACCAAATGTTTCTCGGTATTGTTGTGAGGCGCCCTTCGCGAATTGGTAAAAGATATGGAAGTTTCGCTCGTTCGTGATCTGACCCACCACTCGTGACTTTTCCAGGAGGTAGTTTGTGATGTCGGCACCCACGGGTTCGCCCTGGGCGTTGAAGTAGATCTGCAGATACTTGCCGAATCGCGATGAGTTGTTGTTTCGAAGGGTTTTTGCGTTTCCGAACGATTCTAGTAGGGGGTTGGTTGCCAGCACCATGTCCTTGATCTGCTTGATGTCTCCGGATTCTCCACCAGACGCACTAGCAATGTACTGCATGATGCGCTTGGCCGCCTCGGTCTTTCCGGCTCCTGACTCTCCTGAAATAATGACACACTGGTTGTCGCTGTATGCCTTCATGTTGTAGTATGCGGCCTCGGCGATGGCGAAGACGTGCGGTGGCATCTCGAGTCGGTTCTTGCCCATGTAGCTCTCGAGGACCTGGTCGGTATAAATGCCCAGGTCCCTGAAGGGGTTAACTGAGACCAACACATGGCCAATGTAGGTATAAATTTCGTGGCCCTCGAATCGCTTCTTCAAATTCTCGTTGATGGCTTCGTTGGAGACTTTGCTCAGCAGAGTCAGATCGGAAACACCAATCTCCTTCTTCTTGGTTGTCTCAAAGGTGGCCTTCTTAGGCTTCGCGCCTCCGCTTGCGCCGTCCGCGGCTGCGCCGGCGCCCTTGTTCTTAGGGCGTCTTGATATTCCCTAAGAGTTGAGTAAAAGTTGTCAGCGAAAAAGACGCCGATATGGAGGGTTGACACCGTACCATGATGTGCGACTTATGGGGGGAGAGGGGGGGGAGTGGGAAAGCGAGAGATGGTTAGTATTTAATTTGTATCTATACGGGCGTCAGAAGATTAATCCCGTGTTGAATAATTGAAGGCCTCTGGTGTGAAAAAGCCGGAGAAGAAGATGCGAAGTTTAATTCCAAAGGAGAGTCTGGAAGCTCAGGTAGGTTTGGTGTGGCTGGAGACGACTGGACTTGGGTGGGAGGTTGTGTTCAGTGATGATCTGGTGCCTGACGGGTGACGAAACGCCGACAATTTTCCGCCGCTGCACAGCCCCCTGGATTACTGTGCAGCCTTACGCAATAAGTGGCGGTAGCAACTGTTAACGTCTGGCTATTGTATGAAAACGCGCGGCATTAAAAGTCTGTTCTAGGCAGCATAAATCACAAGGATTTGAGGTGAAATTGTTTATTCAGTTCTTTTGCGGTGTTCTACGGATGATTCTAATAATACCCCGACTCGGTCATCCCTGCGATAACGAATATTGCCTTGCTTTTTACTCGCCCATGCCCGATGTGTCGTCATTGTGCAGTGGGATAATAGTTATTATCAGGGAATAAGATTCATCTTGACTTGCTGTCCAAGTCCTCAAAATCTAATAGTGAAGAGTCGACTCATATCCTGGCTATTCTAGCCGGAGACGAAGGAGTTTGTTATCAATTGTCGGAGTGTATTTTGCAGGGATACTGAGGAACATGGCCGCGGTGAGTTTGACAAAGATGACTTGACCAAACGGTTTCGTCAGCAGCAACTCAAGCCTAGGTACAAATAAGCAGTTAACTCGAGAACCAGACGCTCGTCTGTAAAACAAGCGTGGTTCAATACAAGTTTACTCAGATTGAGCCGCAGCGAATTGGTTTAACTTTGACCACGTCTCATTCCTTGAGATATAACAAGGCCCGTCGTGGAGCTAAGACAGAAGATATCAAAGCATTAGTTGGATGAGAGTTTATTAGAAACAGTAAACTCATACAAACAGCATTGATCTATGCAATCAATCACCAGTAGCAAATTCAAGTGGCCCTTATCCACCAGATGCTCCGTTCATCTCCAGCTTCAAGCGTCTTGGCCTGCATTTCGTCCCCGCCAAACAAGCTCCAGACCGATCTCTCATCCATGATGATGGTATCACCAGCGGAAGAACAAAACATCCGCCCAGGAACAATTAAACAATCTGATTCAATTCAGTTTAGCCAGCAACTGATCGTCCAATCCCCTGTCCTCTGACGCGCAGCTTACAGTAGTGAGCTTCCCGGTTGCGGGGTAGCAACCACCCAAGGTGGCATGCTCACTAAACAGGTGAGCGGCCCAAGCCAACCACGCCCGACGAAACATCCAATGCGCATAAACATGGCATTGCGCTGCCGCATCAACGGCCCATTTCTGAGACCTTAGCTTGAGATTGTTGGAGTAGATAAACTCAAGACCGCCGCATCCGTTTCTTCTGAGACCTGTTTACCTTTTTCTTCTCCAAACTTTGTCGCAACCACTTACACCAGTACTTACTACACTTACACACATTGCTCTGAACTTGACTACCCTGTTTACCAAGCTTACACTTATACTATACCATCATGGCCGACACTGAGCAGCAGCCCAAGCTCGTTGACGAGTCTCCCATCTCTCCCGTAGAACGACGAAACTCCCTGGAAGCTCACCTCAAACACCGCCCCGAACGCTCCGAGCTCGTAGAGAGTGAGCGGTCCCACACATTGCATCCTTGCGTGTGCAATGCTTACATGCCCTGAACAGAGAACATCCTCCCAGCCTCTACGGCAGCGCCAGGCCTCCAGGCGCATCAGAAAGAGGTGAGTCCGCCCTCAAACCATGAAGCCACAGTCGCTGACGCCCCCACAGCTCGAGAAGCACATGCTCGAGGATAAGCTTAACGACAAGATCTCACACCGTCCAGACCCAGAGGCTCTTATTAAGGAGGGCGTCTTGCACGACGACCCGCGTACTGTTGCCCAGGACGAAGCAGCCAAAAAGTACGAAGAGGCCATCGAGGACGAGTATGCCAAGCGTGAGGGTGGCGCTTGAGCATGATGTCATGCGACGGGGTCATGATGCCAGAAATGGAAATTTTTTTTGGTAACGAAATGATTTGACTGGACTGTGAATGGATGGTTGTGTATACAATTGATATGAAATGAATGGGCGCTATTAAGCCTGGCTTGGGCAGTGGTAATTGCTATAGTATATCGACACTGTAAAATCCCGAAATGCCCAAAGCCTCATACGACTGTGCACTAACACGAAGCTTGGGGTGTGAGGATACAACGCTGACTGTTGTCCACACACCATTTGGGCAGAGACAAAGCCATTGATCCGCAGAAAGTGGGAATTCCATCTCATCTTTTTACAGTCTAAGCCATTTTAATGGAAAATTCCAACGTGGAGAAACTCTTCAAACACTTCCAAAGTGGAGGAGACACTGCATATCAGAAGCTCTAAAGCACCCCTGCCACGGGTTGGGCTGCAGGTACCGAGCGGGAGGGAACCCAAGGACCCGATCCACTCGCAGAGACCCAACCCAACCCGTCACACCATCAGTAAATTTTTGTGTCTTGGACCCTTTTTTGAAATTTCCAAAAATCAAGGAAAAAGCACAGATGAAATTAGAAAGGAGCTGAAACAGCTGAATGGTGTGTTGGAAATTTTCTTCCATGGTCTCCAATTTAGGTCGCTATAATCGGACCAGTCCGGCGGGCCGTCTCACATCTCATCCAGCCATCTCGACTTGTAAGAGGTCAAGACGGGAGATTTGGCCCTTCTAAAAAGTTCAGCGCGGACCGCAAGGTGTCCGACGCTCGAATAGTAAAAGTACAAAGAATGATACAAGCAGAAAGAAAGGGAAAAGAAAAACAGTCTCGGCTCAATCCAACCCGTCTCAGTGTCTATCAATCTTGGTTATCGTTGTACAACCCATGCTCTCTAACCCATAATACATCGCCATGCTGCGCTCAATCTTGCCTCATATCTCCAAATGTCAAAACGCCTGTCTATGTTGTATATCCCATATCCGTTACATGTCGCTGTTCGAAATCGATGAAACATAGGAAATCGAAAATATGGCCGTGGCCAAGTGTTGTTTAGATCCTCGTATATGCGCCAGAATATTTTGGTGCCGGCGAATCTTTCTCGTACGAGACTTTGTTGTGGTTGATGACCAAGTTTCGACCAGAGCTGGCGACTTGTGTAGTGTGCTTGTCTGCATCAAATGTTAGAGTGGGGCCATAGGAAGTGAAAGAGCCTTGAGACTCGGTGGTAGGTAACTTACCAGCACCGTACTCGCGGTAATCGCCAGGGGAAAGAGATCGAGGCGTTGTGCTGGTTGAAGAGCTGTACGAACCAGAAGAGTAGCTGTAAGAGCTGGAGATGGAAGGCTCCTTGGTGCTCTGGTGGATTTGGACAGTGTAAGGGGAGCTCATGGTTGCGGTTGTGTTGTTTGTAGGGGGTAGTTGTTGTTGGGTGAGAGTTGTGTTGTAGATGTTTATTGAAATGGTTGATGGCTGAAAAGACAATCTAGTCTGTTCTTTCAAGGCTTTGTATTGTGAGTGTTTGGTGGGAATGAAAAAGGGAATGGCATAGGAGGAAGGGGGTCTATATGTATTTGAAGCTTGGTGATGAGAAATGATAGTACGTACTCGATCATTTGTAAGTGGATTTAGCCCAAGACCTCACTGCCTGGAGGACAAGGGTTACCTGGCAAAGCGCAAGGCATCTCGCACGCTAGGTAGCCTTCGATATGGGGGGACCCAAGGAATTCCGTCGAGTTCAGGGGAGTGAGTCAAAAGGAGTCAGAGACAAGACCAAGACCCGAGCAAGCACGTACTCCCGGGCCCGGCACGGCAAGCGGGCCATGCCATCTAAAGCACGACTGACGGGAGGGCTAGTGATGGACGGCGTGCAAATGGGAATGGACAATACGGGGTGCAGCAAAATGGGGCGTAGTCAAATCATTGGGCATCGACTGGCTGTTCAGGGCAAGGGACCAGAGTCTAAAAGAAAACATCCCAGCAAGACTCATTGCCATTGCAGAACATCCATCCCCCATAGCAGAAACCTTGTGACAGCACTGCTCGGGCCCTCAGTGGCGAAATTCAGGTAAACAAGTGAAGGTTGGTGACGCTGGATAGGGCGGAGCCAGGGCGACGTAGGGCGAATGAGCAGCATTTGGTGCGAGGGCAGGACAAAGGACCAAGCCCCACGGTGTGCGCGAGAGGGACCGACCGGGTCTGAGGGGATACAATTCGGAGAGAATGATTCAAAATGGATGAAAAGAGACAAGATGGTAATACTTTGTCTGTTGTTGCCTGTAATTGGGGGCCACGAGTCACTTCTTCTGGTCTGTTGTGCATGTACTCGGTCTTTGGTAAATACCAACCCCCAGCATGACTTAGACTTAATTAGACCGGGGGGCATTTTCACGATGCAACGGCCTTTGAGTGAATGCATGAAACACTCGCAGCGGCCGTCATGCTAGAGGTTAGAGTCCAGTCCAGGCACCACAGGCACCAGCGCCAGTAAGACGTACCACAACCTTGGGATCGTGGAGCTAAGTTAGTGACCGTGGGCAGATAAAAATATCCATGGCGGTCGTCATGACTGGGGAAGAAAGGGAGTGAGGCTTCGCTTCGTGAATCTCACAATTCCACTCTTTATCTAAGACAACTCCCAATCCCACGCTCTGTTTCCTTGTCTTTGTTGGCCTCCTTTTTTTTTATTTCTTTGACGCAGGCCTCGACACTCATGACTGGCATCGCCCTTGTACAACAGACACCACCACATCCAGCTCATACTCATCGCTGCCCAAAACTTAAACATAAGTGTCTCTCAATTGTGCACCCGAGCCTATCGAAGCTCTGTGCCCCCCACCGTAACGGAAAGGGGTTGAAAGGGGACTATCATGTCTCCCTGTCTCGATAAACAGCATCATGACAAGAGGCGAAATTCATCGTGAAGCGCATTAGCGTGCGAAGCGCTTGGTCCAGGGCTTCTCGGCGCTGGTGGATCTGACACCTGCAGGCTGGGATGTGCCCCCATCTAGGTTGCATCTTTGCTGCAGGAACTGATGCACCTGCTCGAGTAGTAAACTTGTCGATTGCTGAAGCTCTACACCATCTCGCCTTGATGCAGTCACGCGCAAGTACATCGGCGCCCTAGCCGCCGCAGCAGACGATTACTGCTAGTCCTGATATCCTGAACACGGATGGATGGACGGATGGGCCCGACACTGATTACTGGTCACATCAGAAACATGACCATCCAGTGACGTCGCGATACTCTGTTTCGATAACAGCCTTGGTGTGATGAATCAGGGACTGCCAAGGGATGTTTCCTTTTTGCGCCTTGCTTGGCTGTACAAGACCCCGACTGATACAGTGAAGCGTCGTGTTATCGTCATGAGTCACATGGATGGTTTCGCCCTGCCAGACCGAAACAGGAACAGAAGATGCAAATGCATATTTGTAATGCGTCAGATTTACTGCAGATATCCATGTGTACGTAGTTGAAGGGTCAACGTGATGCAAGTCCTCATGGATGGACCCTGTTATTTCGATTCTGCTCGTCCATATCTGGCATTGCAGCCTCCCCAGTTTCCAAATGGAGATGCGAGACGTGACAACCCAGAAACAGATCAAGGATGGGATCATTCAGACGGGCCGGCCCCATTGACCAATAACAGGCTCCTTAGCTTGACCCTCCAAGCTATGACGCTGTTGTATCAGAAGCACACGCTGCAGTACAGAGCCTTTAGCCGCTAAACGGACACGTCGCAGCTTAACGTTAGAGAGGCCAACAACCCCAGAGCAGAGCTTCATCCATACAACGACAACCTCGCTCGCATCCATTCACACTGCCTCACACGACGTGCCAACCACACCCGTCGACGTCACATCTCCAACGAATTCAGGCTTCTCATTGACCTCAACGCCGTTGTGACCTCCATTAACCTCATCAATTCCCCGCCCCGCATCTGTCCCGACCGCCACCATGAAGGCCGCCCTCTTCCTCTCCGCCCTCGCCTCTGCCGCCGTTGGCGTTGTCGCCGAGGACCTCAAGATTGACGTTACTCTTCCCGTCGTCTGCGACCGCAAGACACAGAAGGGAGACAGGGTTCAGATGCACTACCGTGGCACCCTTAAGGACTCGGGCAAGCAATTCGATGCCAGTAGGTTCCTCCGCCTTGCATCTACATCAATGATCGTCGCAAAGCACATGCTAATTTGAACACAAGGCTACGACCGTGGCACTCCTCTTGACTTCGTCGTTGGCTCTGGTCAGGTCATCAGGGGGTAAGCTTCATCACTGCGATGTATACAAACTCGAGGCTAACAGTTATGTAGATGGGACGAGGGTCTTCTCGACATGTGTATTGGCGAGAAGCGGTACGTAAAGCATACAGCTACAGCCAGGACACCTCTTTACTGACCCTTGACTTAGACTTTTGACTATCCCGCCTGAGTACGGCTACGGCCAGCGAGCCATTGGCCCTATCCCCGCCGGCTCTACCCTGGGTTCGTTATTCCCACCAGTCCCTCCCGCTTCATATTCACCGCCTAACACTACAAACCTGCAGTTTTCGAGACAGAGCTCGTTGGAATTCAAGGCGTCCCCAAGCCCGAGAAGATCGAGACAAAGGTTGTCGAGGGTGCCGAGACTGCCGCCGAGGCTATCAGTGAGGCTGCTGAGTCTGCCGCATCTGCCACCAAGAATGTTGCTGGTAAGGTTGCTCAGGCTGTTGTCGATGCTGCTGATGCCGCCAAGACCATCATTGCAGACACTGATGACGCTCCTGAGCACGAGGAGCTGTAAAGATTTGATGTCTTCAATGATCTACTTTGTGCATAACGTATCAACCCATACCATGCCATATTCTGTCTTAAACGCAGCCTTGAGAAGCTGGAAAACAAAACCCGGATCCTGTCAACGTCGTGTGCTATCCGCTCGGGGCTAAGCCCCACGCTGGCCCTCTGTGACATGTTGGTTGCATGTGCATAATCGCGCTGTAGAGAGGGTCTATTGTCTATCTCGGGCAATAGGATTTGTCTCGTAGATCTCGACGTCACTATACGATACCCTCATCTTGTTCTTGTGACGGCTTCGCTTCTGGCGGCCGCATGTAATGATGTTCTCTGATTTTCTGTTACATCAAAGGATGTTGATGATGGGCGGATATATATGCAGGTATGGCCGCCCGAGTCATGCGGATGCACTTGGTGATGTCTTCAGCATGTCTGATCCCTCACTACTGGTTGGATATCTCGATGAACTACAGGTTTTAATGGTGGTTTGTTCCTTATGGAGGGGGAACGGGTCTTGCCCCCGGTCTTATTGCAATGGTTTCCTGCTTTTGAGTCACTTGTAAAATCTTTCAGCTTATTCTGGATGGATACTTTGTTCACTTGCAGGTGGGGTGTTGATAAATCTATATCATATCTAGCGGTGTGGTCAATAACTGTTCGTACTGCGTAATTGCTTCTGTTCCATCATGGTGATATTTGATCATGAGTAAATTATTGAAAATCGCATGTCATCGTTGATGTCAGGCGTACGGGGATATCATGAACGGCCGTGAGCGCTAGAACTACGATTTCGTCGGGGCGAGCGACGTACCGGAGATGAATGTCACTGATTTCAAGTTTCACTGCGTTACTTTGGTATACTTACGGGTTAATCAGCCTGATTTAATCAGTCTAGAGCCCACCATCGTTGACTTACAGTGTCGGAGGCTCATGAGTTTGGATTCAATAGTGTAGGGTAGGTACGACTCAAACGAGGGTTCATGACGAAGAGCATCATGAAACACTAGAAGCAAGGATCTGACACGAATCCCCTCGAGAAATCGATTATAGCTATCTTCAGTCTTGAGATGTTGTGCTCTTGCTTATTCCACGTGACGTCTCTGAAACCTCACCGCCGTGATGCTGGCAAACCTTTATCCACATAGACTTTTCATTTCGAAACGATGGTGATGCGCTGTACAGTTTTGGTAACAACGCATTAACCTTTAGGCAAATCGTAACAATGAACAACACTAGAATGGTCAATGAAAATGAGTATCACTAGCTAAGGAATGCCCCAACATCATAATAACAGAGATTTGGCATTTTCACGTGGCCTGACAAGATAAGACATTGATCTTGTGTTAATCGTAACTCAATTTGGGGCTTTTGTTTCCTCCCAAGAAGGCGTTACATACGGATGGAGGCTCAGCCACGAACTGCAAGGGTCAATCCATGAAAGGGGAACAACTGGATAAGGAGTGGAGGTTAAATTAAACATTATGATTACGTGAAGACTAATCTCAAGAAGGAATGAATGATAACAGTGCTATATGACAAGTATATACCTTAGTAGCGAAAAAGATGCTAACAGTACGAGTACATGCTTACTTGGAGACAGCGAAGCAAGACTGAAGTTGGCTGGGATTGAATCACGTATAAGTGAAGCCGAAAGTAACAGCGTTCCATTACGATAAAACCAATGACATCCGCTGGCGGAACGGACCCGTTAGCCCGTTTTAATGCCCCGGGAACTAAGGTAATTAGAAAGTTTCCGCTGCGAGGGAGTCGGGAGGGACGGGATGAATATGGAGATGACGGGCGGGAATGGCTAGAGACAAGCCCGAATCTAAACCTTAATAGAGCGTCAATTGTATTTCAGGGTAATTGAGGCTTAGATGCAGCTGTTTCTAGCCAGACTCGAGGGCAATTGATGGATATCCAAACATTGGCTCCCTCTTTGTCTGTAGCTTTGACCTTTCCATGATCCTCAACCTTGTAAATACCGTCTCTTTGTACCGGGTCACCTTGTGCTCACCGTTTCAATTGGGACGCGGTAAGCTTTTAGCGCCCGGTCAACTTTTGAATTTGGTGGTACCTTGCGCTTTCAGTTGCACAGCATCCATTGGGATGGATCCAAGGGGCGTATTAGCTTGTCTCCCTGTTAGTTTTCGATTGATGCACTGCCAGTTGGCACCTTTCATCATCACCATCTCCCAAATCAAACAGTTTCTTTGTTTCTTTTTCGGCATTGTCTCTCCTTCCTCGCGCCCGCGCCGTATAATCAATCCTGTTTGCTCTCTTTCCTTGCATCTGCCATCTTCCGTCTTAACCTTATCTGCTAGCGTAACCGACCTATTTCTTTCCTTTCAAGCTCTCTTTCACATAACACCCACTCACTTGTGTACCCGGCATCACCGCGATTTCATCACACAATCGTCTCCTCTAGTGATCGAAATGTCATATCTCTTCAGATAACGACGTCGGATTAAACAAACAGGCTTTTCTGAGGCTCCGCACCTATTGCTTGGGAGCTGACCCTTTCAGCTGGGGTATACATCTTGGCATCTCAAACCCAGCGCAACCACTACGATGCTTGACTCTATCACATCTCGCTGGAAAGATCTTCGCGAGGAGCATCCGCGCCTTAATGCGGTCGCCACGCAGGCTGGGAGGCTGGTACCGCCCATCAATTTCATAACCATTCACTACGCCTATTTCATCTTCGGATCCCTCTTCTTCTCACTTATCTTCTGGCTATCCAGCGAGCCAAGCCAGAGTATCCCCTACGTCGATTGTCTGTTCCTGGTTGTGTCTTCTTTTTGCGATACAGGCCTCAATACCGTCAATCTTTCCGAAATCACGACATGGCAGCAGGTTCTGCTATATCTTCTTTTCATCATTGGAAGTGCTCTATGGGTTTCATTCTGGACGGTCATGGCACGAAAGCAGGCGTTCGAGAAGCGTTTTGAGGATATCGTCAGGATAGAACGAGAAGCAAGGAAACGGCGGGCCGCATTGAGACGCGCCAAACCACTTGGGAGATTCCTCCCTTTCACTAAAGCGAGGACAACACCTGTATCAACCGAGACTTCTAATACTCTAACTGGTCTTGGAACGGTTCAGAGGACAGCGACTGAGAAGCCTGACCCCAACGACTTGTTCAAGACAACTGCTCCTATGCGCCGCGCCGTTACTGCCCCTCCAGATTCTATCTCCGACTCAGACGACAATGATAGCAATACGACGCAGGTGGCAGCTCCTGCACGGAATGCTCCTATGACTCCAAACTCCGGCGACCATATCCAATTCGCAGACAACTTGTCGCCCCGAAGCGCCGGCAGAGACAGCGTGTCCATCTATCGACGAAACGAGAACGTGGAACCCAACCGACGACCTTCAACCTCAGACTCAGTCAACAGCGACGAATCAGAAGACTTTCTTCTGCACTGGAAGAAGATCCTCGGGAGTCACAACACAAGCAAGAGAGGCCAATTCTACGATCTATCATCCGATGAACGTGAGGCTTTGGGTGGCTGTGAGTATCGCGCGCTGAAGATCTTGGCCGTCACTGTTCCTTTTTACGCCTTCATGTGGCAAGCTGTATGTGGAATTGCACTGGGTGCTTGGATCAGCATCAACCGGCCGTCGGCGGCAACCGCCAATGCTATCAACCCCTGGTGGTGCGGAATCTTCTTGTCGTCTTCGGCATTTAACAATGCCGGCATGTCACTCAATGACGCAGGCATGGGTGCATTTCAGGATGCGTATTTTGTTCTCATCGTCGTTGGTATCCTTGTCCTTGCCGGGAATACGGGCTATCCACTGCTCTTGAGGTTCTTTCTCTGGTGTAGTCTTAGGGTATTGCAACTGACCACCGAGCCCAAAACTCTGGGGCCATGGAAAGAGACGATCGAGTTCATTCTCAAGTATCCCCGTCGAGTATACACGACACTCTTCCCGTCAGGTGCTACATGGTGGCTCTTCACTGTCATTGTTACCATCAACACGATTGACTGGGTTGCTTTTGAAGTTTTGAATATCGGAAATGATGTTGTAGAAGCTATGCCAGTGTCTGACCGTATCATTGCTGGATGGTTCCAAGCAATTGGTAAGTAAGAACTTTTCCACTATGTGATTGCCTTACTGACACACCGTAAGCTGTTCGTGCTGCCGGTTTCGCGGTCGTTTCTATCTCAGGTCTCTATCCCGCCGTCCAATTGCTCTACATGATTATGATGTACATTTCCGTGTATCCTGTCTCGATTACGATGCGCCACTCCAACGTTTATGAGGAACGATCCCTTGGCATTTACGAGGATGACCCTCAAGTTTTGGAAGCAGAGAATGGAAACGGAAACGGAAATGAGAATGGAAACCACCTTCTGCCCACGATCTCAGAGGAACCAGAAAAGCCTGCACTGCGACGAAGAGTCACAGCTGCAGCTCAAAAGACGGTCAAGAAATCCATGACTTTCCATGGCGTTGGCGTGCGACCTCCGCCCAAAGGTCCAGACGATAACTCTCGCATCTCTTTCATTGGACAGCAGATTCGTGGACAGCTTGCTCACGATATGTGGTGGCTTATCCTCCCGGTCATCGTTATCATGATCATCGAGACCGACCATTTCCTTGAACAACCTCTTGTTTACAGTGTTTTTAATGTGTTGTTTGAGGTCGTTTCGGCTTATGGGTGCGTTGGTTTGTCCATGGGCTTACCAGGAAAAAGCTACAGCATGGCTGGAGGCATGCACCGAGGCAGCAAGTTTGTGTTGTGCTTGGTGATCCTCAGAGGCCGACATCGAGGTCTCCCTGTTGCGCTTGACAAGGCTGTTAGATTGCCAGGAGAGAAGTTGGTACGTGAAGAGGAAGAAGACTCGAAGATCAGAAGGACAAAGACGATGAATAGGATAGCTAGCCGAGAGTCTAGAGTCATGTAAAGTTGCACATCGCATGTATACGGGCCAGGCGTTCACGGATTTGGAAACACGATAGATTTGGGTTGACCAACGGAAATGCAAAACAACGTTAGACGAATATTTAGACAATGTTATATCATAGACCTGTTTGCATCATTCATTCATCAAATTCATATCATTTACACTATCCAAAGAACAGCTGTCTCTGCTTCGGATCAGGCACCTTCGGCCTCCCTCTCTTCTTCTCTGTCGTCCGTGGCTTCTTGATTTCGGGCGTTGGGTCACGTTTTATTGACGGGCCATCTGCCTGTACAGCCTCACGAATTGTCTGCCTCGATAGGCAAAGGTCTATATGTTCATTGAAGTGCCGCTCATCGGCCGCTTGCGGTCTGCTGCAGATGGGACAGTCCCACCACTGCTCCTCTGCAGCGTTCTCTTTTGTAGGATTAGGGGCGATCTCCTTGCCGTGTCTTCGGCCTAGTGATTGATCTGGAGAGTCCTGGTTACTAGAAGAGCCCTCAAGCAGGCCATCCGGGTCGTCAAGTTGAAGATCGGCTCCTGGCCACTGTTCCCATTCTCCGTCATCATCACTCGCTTTTCTTTTCAGGGTTCCGTCTTGCGGGCGGTCTTCTGAGTCTGTCCTTCGGGGCCGAAAGCCGAAGAAGGCCATGGCATCAGGTTTTTTGGTACTGACGAGATGTGTGCATCTCAAACCCATCAACCGAAGTTTCATGCTGGGCATTTCTTGTTCCAGCTTGGTGAGAATAGGCAGAGCGTAGTTGTATAGGTCGTCTGCAAGGCATATAGCTCTTGGAAGGACGACCTGCCGAGTGAGGACCTCGAACGTGTGAAGTTTAACTTTAAGACAGAGTGTACGGCCTTTACACTCAGCGCGCTTCATGTCCTGCTCCAACTCCTCCGCTGTTGCTCGTAATTTTTCTCTCAGCTGTGTAGGATCCGACATATCGCGGAATGTACTCTCAGTGCCAACGCTTTTGCGCTCATACTCTTCTGCTGGCTGAATTTTGGTGCGACCAAGACCTAAGTAGCATGTGAACAGGAACTCTGAGGTTTTGTCACCAAACAGTGGGTTGAGATATTGTCGGTGCTCGTAGAAATCACCACAAGTCTTGATACCAATCTCTAGCAGTTCTCTCTCGAGGACCCTCCCTATACCATTGACTTTCCGGGTAGGTAGGTCGCGCATGAAGGCCATGATTGTTGGCCGATCGCTAGATAAAACGTATTGCCCATTGGGCTTGTTCATGTTTGAACAGATCTTTGCGAGTTTGGCGTTAGCAGCAATGCCAGCAGAGACAGTGATATTTGTCTTCTCATGGATTTCTCGCCGCATGTGTTCAACGGCCTCCGCTGGGTCCATCTGGTGTTCCTGGCAGTATTCGGTGATGTTTAAGTATGCCTCATCGATACTAGCGCTCTCGAACCGGGGATCGTAGTTGACCAGAACTTCTCTCACCTCATGCGCTTTTGCATTGTATTTCTGAAAGTTTGGCTTTAGCAAGATCAAGCTTGGGCATAATTTCTTGGCCACAAAGCCAGCCATGCCTGATCGGCAGCCGAACTTGCGCGCAACATAATTGCAAGTGGTCAAAACGCCGCCACCAACTGCGAAAGGGAGGTCTTTTATTTCCGGGCGATCAAGTTGCTCGACAGCTGCGTAGAATGCATCACAGTCCACATGAACGATGTGCTGAGTGAGGTCGCGAGTGAGTTCAAGTTCGGCAATGAGACGGTCTGCATTGCGCAAGTCCCGAGTCAGATCCCTCTTCTCGAGTTGAGCCTTTCGCGCGATAATTTGTTCGATCTTCTGGGTGAGGACCTTGTCTCGTTCTTCTTCGCGATTGAAGAATTTGGATCCTTTGGAAGCGTTGTAGATGATTTCAGAAACCTTGTAAGTTGTCTTAGTGATAATTGGTTCGTGCGGGCGGCAAGGATGTGTACCTTTGTTTGATCAACCGTATCTTGACCTGCTTTTAGTAGCGATGGTCCCAGAAGGGAATATTTGAGGGTTTTGAAAGCATCGTCCTCTGCAGTTTCAGAGGTATCTCTGCTGACATGATTTGTTTCCTTTTCAGCTCCTGAAGGTTCCTCTGTTGGTTGTAATGGAGGTTGCTCCTCCACTTGATCAATTGAGCTCATCTCAAGGGGACAATAGCGATGTCTTCATAGCATATACTGCGACTATTGAAGGCATCGTGAAGCCAGCCTGATGTCGTCGCGTCTCAGAGATGAGAGGTGAAGGGTGACGTGACGGGAGCCTTTCAAAATCCTGGACGCGTTCGGAAAACACACGAGATCATGTGACTCACTAGGGGCCTTCGACTCTGTTTTAGGTGCCTTTAGTGCTGTCTTGGTTAGTGGGGGCCGCTATTTTGGTGGTGGGACGGCTCTAACGACACCAAGGGTCCTCTGAACTCAATTGGCCAAAGAATGTGCTTCCCCTCCCCAAGAACAGGCGTTTAAGCGCCGACATGGACAACTTACATGCATTATGTCGTCTGTTGGAAACACAGAAGTTGATCAGTCGACGAGTCAAATGGCGCCCAGCTCTGAAATGAGGGTTGGACTCTGAAGGGGAGGGTACAAAAGCTGAACGAGGCCGCACATTTTCTTTCTGTCACGAATCACTTGATTATTTCCCTACAGGTCTTTGGTCTTGCTCTGTAAGGTGAGCTCACAGAGGAGAGGAACCTTTAATATGGCTGCGCGACCAGGAGAGGAGAATGTTGCGACACTGTAAGTTGCGACGGCTAAACTTGCTGAGGAGACGTCCCAATTTGCTGACAGACCGTCAATGAAGCTTCGCAGACATTCACTACTTCTATGGCCCCGATACTGTGAAGCCCAGACATCACAGGTTCGATAAGGGGTCGTATGTCTATCTTTTTGAGAACGCCAACGAGCGCCGGTGTCGCATTGAAATTGCCAACCAGCCTGGCACTGAGGATCAGGATGCTTTCGAAGGATGTAAGACTCGCCATTATGAGGTCGCGCATAGCTGAGAGTGACCATACTGATAAGCCAACCTGTAGACCTCGATCAGGCACACGTCCGATACTCCTACAAGCAACAATGCAACGTCACTCTGACCGGACCTGAAGCTGTCGCGGACCAAAACGAATGGCACCTACCAACTTTTGATCCTCAGAATCAAAACAAGTACCACTATAAGCTTCACTCACTTGACATCTACTTCTGGACCCAGGCAGATGCGCTCCAGTTTGTCAATGGCGTAAGAAGAGTTGCTCCGCCTTCACATGTTGAAGTCCTGGATGAGCCTGGCCCTCCCCCTCAACCTGCGCCTATGAGCTCTGTGGTTCAACAGTTGGAGAACGTTGCCATCTCAGATCCTCAATATGGTTCAGCCAACGTTCCGAGCTTTGCGCCTCCTCCCAACGTCCCCGCCCCGCCTCCGGCCCCGCCCTCCGAGGCACCGGCCAACTTTGCTCCGATGGCTTATAACCCGGCCGCTCCAGCAGCCCCGGAGACGATCCAGCACCGAGAAAAGACACCGCCTCCGGATGAGGATCCCCTCAACCCGCTGGCTGTTGCTGTTGCGTATGACTACCACAAGCAGCCTTTCACACCGGGTATGCCTCCGCCATCGCAATTCCCTCCGGGAGGTGTGATAAGCCCTGGACTACCTCCACCTCAATTTGGTCAGCATCCTGGATTGCAAAGAGCTGCTACAATGCCTGCTCAAGCATTGGGAAGTCCATATGGCGCAACGTTCCCAGGCTCACCTGGATTTGTATCTCCCCCGCCTCCTCCACAAACTCAACCTCCGGCCCAGACTCAACCCCACTCGCAACCAACACCGCCAGCTTCAAACCCGGGGCTTCCTCCACCACCTCCTGGAGGCTTTACGCAGTACAACTATACACACCAAGAGCAGCAGGCGCCAACTCAGCCAGGTGCAGAATATTCAGTCCATCAGCAAGTTTACCGCCCAACGCAGACAGAATTGGCCAATTCCGAGATCTACTCATTTACGCCTAAGACGAAGGAGCCACGAGGTAAACTTGAAGAGAATGCGGGACGATTGGAGCGTGGCGTAACGGGCATGCTGAAGAAGTTTGAGAAGAAGTTCGGATAAATAGCATGTGACTTATGCAAACTTGGTTGGAGCGGGAGTTCAAGGCTGTTTTATTCTCACATGTTAATTTTATATAGCACCACCATTCATTTTAATCTGCTCATCAAGAGGACCAAGCCTTTACCTTTAAGTAGCAGCTGTCTTTTACTGCCTTAATGACTGATAGCCATCCTGCTATAGAGGTCTCACTGTTTAAAATACTGCTAGATAAAGTCGAAAGCTCGATAACCTCTTCAAAGGTGGAAACCGAGATTTTGCAAAATGATACTACTAGGTCTCAACTTCTTATTAAGAGGGCCCAGCGAATGTTGTATAACGCTGTCCCTGAATCGACTGTGTAACGCTAACAGCCAGGAGAAGACATCAAAGGCTTGTGTTTCACGATCTCGCAGGTTGGACAAGAGTGAAATGTGAAAAGAGGTCTCACTGTACGGCTGAATGGAAGACGACCAAAGAAGAAGTAGTGGTATCAAGAAAGGCTGGTTATCACGGGAACCCCGACAATGTGCATTGCTTAACAGAAGACTTATGACAACCCTTGCAAAGCCACTGGAGCAAACACTCCATAATAGTCTCAGAAGAACACGTTGTGACCAAAGCTTTTAAAAAAGGCAAAGGATAGTAACAAGACTGTTGACAGCTCACCAATGGAACAAAGAGTTTCCTTAATCTGACCTCGTGGACGAGGGTTAGACAAGGGCAACAATCATTGCATCAGAAGAAAGGTGCGGGGAGGCTGAGCTTTAGCAGGGGCCACCTCAGCCACGCCACATCCCTGGAAGGTCAGATTTAAGGCACAGGGCCTTTCAGTAGCGTATTTTGATGATCTTTAGCGGCTGGAGAAGCCGTTCGTCGAGGTGGAGCGAGCCTCGATGGCATGGAACGTAACAAGAGAGCTCTGAGCTACTATGTGAAAACGTGTTAAAAAACCGATTGAACTCTCATTACAATGAGGGGTCATCGAAGAAAATGAGCGACAAGACAAGGGAATTGTCCCGCAGATCTGTGGTGATTGCGTAATGAACTGGGGCCCCGTTGATGCTTATTCCTTGGGGATGAAGTTGTCGTTCAAGGATCGGGTGCAACACTGCGGTCGACGAGTACAAGTTTGAGATATGGCGGCAAGATAAGAGTCTGTACCTGTTGTACACCAGCCACAACGCCTTGCCATTCCATCTCATCATCTTTGACAGGCGGTTCAATACAAGAGCTGATATGATCTTCAGCACCCAATGCTCTAAGCCTTCAAGACACTTGAACCCTTGAGGGGAAAGTAAGCAGAGGCCACAGCTTGGCCCTGTACTAAGTTACGTAGCCGCTTACTGATGTCACCACCCTAACGGCCACTGACAAGTCATGATCGTCAAGGAGCAGATGATAGGTGATGAAGGTTACGTTAGCCAATTCTTGATCTGACAACAGAACAAAGCAGAGCAGAGCAGAGCAAACTAAGACGAGGCGGCTCGTCCGCTTATTCTGGTCAATGCTAATCTCAAATTCTTATTCTTAACTTCTTGTTACACTCGTAATCATATTACTTCCTCCCATTTTGTGCTTCCAACAGTGAAACACACAGCGAGTATAAAGGGTAAAACGCCCCGAAACACCCCTGCTAGAAGTCCAGGCCCAGGTCCATTTTCACATCCAGCTCAGCCAAGCCAAGCCGACTGGACGGGAAAGCCAACCAACCAACCTCGCGCCTCGCGAGCGCCCGATAACTGCGGCTGTGCTGAGCTGTGCATTGCTTTGCCTGGAAGTTGGAGGCAATAGTCTTCATCTTCTTCTGTTGTGGTTCTGTTCCTCTTAATCAATCTCCTGTCAATCAAACCTTCTTCCCCAGGAACAACGCTCTTTGCCGCAATCGTCGAATCTTATACGAAACTTTGTACTCCCACTTCGTATCGGCAAGCATCGATCATCCAATCGGGCGCGCCTCTGTGTGGTCCTCTTCTATCCGCCCTCTCCGACGAATTGTCGCTGGCAATTCATTCTCATTACCAGTACAATTAACTTCTGCTTCTGCTGAATGTTGCAATTCAGTTTGAAATGCATCTGAACGTTCCAATACCGCGTGGCTGGGATGCCGCCGAAAGCGCACTTCAACCTCGAGAAACGTCATCCAGCAACGGTGGCGGGGGAACCAATAATACAGTTGTCTTTATTGTAAGTTTAACTGAGGTGGAAGAATCGCCGAGATCTGCCATGGCGCTAACATTAATTTCTCAATGTGCAGGTCATCGGTAGTATTGCCGGTGTAGTGGTAGCCATTACTTTGGCTGTTTGCATAACGAAGGCGCGACAAAAGAAGAAATCGACAGAAAGCAAAAAGAAGGGAGGATTTCTTGAACGAATAAGAGGTCGATCGGGGCAGGGCAATTACGAACAGACAGCAGGTGAAGATGGTGGGGAGAATGGAAGACAATCGCATCAGCTCGATCCCACTTCTACTTCAACCAATAACCGACAAAATCGCAACAGTTCCAATAACGGTACCAACGCTGGCGCAACCGTCGACCGAAATACTTCCGTCCGCTCTGTGCTTACATTACCGGCGTATCGACAGAGCGCAAGCCATAACGAAAGGGTTCTGGGACGAGAGGGCGAGCGAGATGGCGTGGACGTGATCATTGACCTGCCAACTGCAGAGGCAGAGGAAGAAGCGCGAAATGAAGAAATGGAGACTCTCTACCAGATCAGACTGGCTCGACGACAAGCCCTTGCCGAGCGTGAGGAGCGTAGAGAGCGACGTCGCGAGGCACGGCTCAGAAGCGACTACCGCGAGCTTGAGGCGATTAGAGCTGAGACTCGTGCTGCGAACGAGGACAACACTATTGCCGAACTACGAACGACTGTGGACCAGATCAAGGACAACAGGCAGAGGTCTGTGTCAAGTGTATCATATGCAGACGTAGGTGTTGCACGGCATGACGGAACGAGAATTAGAGCAAACAGTAGTGAGAGTGAGCGCGTTGGCCTGCTTTCTGATGCTGCGAGCATGCAATCAGGACATCAACGGGGGCGCAGCTATAGCTCTGCTGCCAGTCATGACGACGACTTTGCAAGTCTGGCGCCCACACGTTCGCAAGGAGCTTCTATTCGGTCAGGCAGTGCAGATGGCAGAGCTGGCTCGAGTCCTGAGTTGGTA